CGTAGACATAGACAGAGTAGCGTTTGAGTATTTGGCCATTAGGCTCTGGCGAAAACTAAATTCATATTCTGATAGTATTTTAGCCGCAGTCGGGTAATTTACCATTTTAAAACATTGCACTAGAACTACGACTAACAAGTGAATGAGGCACTTGACTCAAAGTCACAAATGAATATTTTCCTATTACATAACTAAAAATAACCTATCACGTGTACTCTGCTGGTACACAATGTTGACCGGGTTAATAAAAACACACGGAAGAAATCACAGCAACCATATTAGGTATCTTACAACAATGGACAGAATCAATTATTGTGCCATGCCATCCCACTTCATTGTTTATTTTCTCAGCAATTTAAAAGAAAGGAATAACACAAGATCGTTGTTTATATTCACACTTATTATTATAAAGTCGTGGTAGCTCAAGTGCTTATCGCTAGCTGTAAATTTCACAGCAAGCGAGCAACCCTGGTTCAATCACTGTCGGCCACCAATGAAATTGTTAATTGCAATTTATAGTGCTGATTTACCACGTGCTCGGCGGTGAAGGAAAATATCGTGAGAAAACCTGCATGTCTGAGAAATAAAAAAAATATTTCGAAGACATGTGAAGTCCGCCAACACGCATTGGGATACTAAACTGGACATTTCATTGCCCTAAACCCTCAGAAGTGAGTGAAGGCCTGTGCCCAGAAGTGGGACGTATATAGGCTGTAACTTTTTAACTTTATTATAACTTAATCTTCTGTTTAAACATTCGATTTTCCACGAATCTTTCAAGTGCAACAAAAATCTTATTTCATCATCCACACGTAGTCCACAACAGGACATGGGGCTCTCCCATTGTGGGGAGGATTTGGATGGTCACGCTTGGCAAGCGGAGTGACGATCGTACAACACGTGACCTTTGAAGTTGCAGTCGTTGCCAGGCTGGAATAAATTTGTCTAGCGTAGACAAGATGGTTATAGCGCCATCTGTTAGAAGCAATAACACTTTTTTGGCACTTCCTTAGTCACCTTTCAAACAAAGACTACGTAAACTAGGCGGCCACTACAGTAATAATACATTGCGCACTGAGTTACAGTCAGTCGAGGAGACTAGTTCTTTGTTTTGTTAGCCGCGAACGCTGTTTTCTAAAAATCTAACACTGGTTTAGTTTAATGTGACGAAACTTTGTCACTGAGTACGTAGTTTGTCTAAAAACAGAAACCGTCGTAAATTGAAATAATACTGCGTTGCATATTTAGCGTGCCAGCTTCCCGCCCGACCTCGCCAAAGTTTCGTTCAAACTGAGGCGAATCCCGCACGTCATTATTATTGGTTTCTTAATAGGATATTGATATTGAAGCTGAGGTTATGTTTTTATTAGCATTAACTGAAGAAGAATATCAAGATGTGAGGAAGAAACGAAGAAAATGGGTTCATGAGCTGAGTACTCAACGCACAAAATTTGGGGTTTCATACTTTAATACCCACATTATGAAAAGATAAATGACAATAAAAAAAAACGTATGCCAGAACGAATGTTATAACGAAATTCAAAGTTCAACGGCATTTCAAAAAAGCATGCATTATCCTGCGTATATTTCTCTGCAGCACGTGCCAACTATTCGCGCCTAGTGAACGCGTCCACACAATTTAGCTGACACAATCGTGCGGGATTCGCCTCAATTTGAACGAAGCTTTAACCTACAGCTGTGACACAGTTTTGTTTTAGATTACCGGTATAGTGTATACATAGAGAAGTGTTTGCTCTCAAGGCACGTCAGCAAAGACAGCACACGACAGCCAAAGGACGAAATGGGATACATTCTAACACCAAAGATCTTATACTTTACCAAATTATTGTGCACACTTACATATAAAAATATATTAAAACCCTAGCCTTAATACGTTAGAATACTGGGAAGAAAATAATGCATTAATAGTGGTTCATTATGGTTCAGAGTATCGCGTGTGCAACTTTTTCTATAGTTTCGCAACCAACTCATAAGCCTCATGGGCCCCGACATAACTTGTCGAATAAAAAAATATATATGAGTAAAATGAGACGTAAATCCTTTTACATATTTTATTGCAACGATGAAAAGGTTGCGAAAACGCTGACATAGGCAACCCTAAGTTCGAATACGTCCGACATCACGTATACCATGAATATATTATTTGTTACAATGGAGTTAGTACCTACTTTCAATGGACTACTACTACTACTTTTTACCATATGTAAAAATCCAGGAATTTTTACATATGGTAAATATTTGTTTCTAAATAATATTTGTCATTTTTTGTATAAATTAGATTACAAACGAATAAACTTTACAACGCATATTCCTTAAAGTGAAAAATTAAAAACGAAAGCATTTTTTATTGACTGGTAGAAAATGCCATATGGCATTAAGTCCGCCGTTTGTACTTTTAGTACAATAAAGTGTATGAATGAATAAATATAGTAGGTACTCTAAAAAAATCTAAACTGACAAATCTTCATTGAAAACTTACTTTGCAATTAAATGACATTGTGTAACAAAAAGTTTCACCTCAGTCCAAACTAGCGACATCAAGGTGAGCGGAAGATTATAGCCCTCATTGAGACAACATATTGCAAGTACTTAGTTATTTACAGACGTCATAACTTCTTTCAATTCACTCATCACTTGTTATAAACACGGATATAAATATTACGCTAATGGCATTTTGCAAAGTACAGTAAGCAAAAAAACTAAGTAAAAATTTCTTAAAAATATACAACCACGAAAATATATTAAAAATCGCATTCTATTTAACTACGTCAAATCCTATCTAAAGTATAGCTGCTGATCTGCTCGGAAGCAGTTTATTTATAATTATAGCTCTCTTTTAATTATATGCCATTTTTATTATCTATATTTATATTCTCTTACGTGGTAGAGCCATGCTGTAGCTATATTGTGGTTGTAGCACGAATGGGTCAGGTCGATTGGAGTGGCACCACGTCTCTCACAGAATACCATTGTAAAATAGTAGTTATCATCAGGTGGTCTGTGTTCTTGCTTGTCACTCTTGTTCTATAAAAAAAATATACAGGGATCTATGGAAAATATATATCCAAATTTTATATATTTAATTTAAAATGTATAAATAAGGCTTCTATTTTTATTTGAAATTATTCCAAATTGAATGTGATTTATGGGCTATAACTACGCGTACGCGTGCTCCTCTGTGAGCGATTTAATTCACAACGTTTTTGCTGATCGAGCGACTTCTACGATTTTGTGCGTGCGTAGTAAAATAGTAGGCGTTAGATATCTTTGAATGACAATTAATTGAAATAATGCATTATCTCGCATTTTGAACTTAAAACATAATAATATAGTTTGAATTGAAAATTTAAAAACCGGTCAAGTGCGAGTCGGACTCGCGCACTGAGGGTTCCGAACAAATCTGTAGTTATATAAGTTTAAAATTATTAAAAATACTTTTATTATATGATGTAACTAAAAATCTATGCTTTTCGCAATTTTTCCTTTATCTTTACCATAAAACATTGCTTCGTACCAAATTTCAAAATTCTGAGTTCACGGAAAGTACTCTGTAGGTTTTGATTTCCTTGCGAATGTCGAAAATTTGCGGCATAAACGGCTGTATCTTTTGATTGCGTTGGTTTAGAAGTTTGATTTTTTCACAGCTCCAAGGGATAGTAGTCTTGACTATTTGGTATGAATTTAAGCTTTACACTTCCACGCGTTCTTGAGAAAAAGGGTCTTGACAGGCCGACAGACGGACAACAAAGTGATCCTATAAGGGTTCCATTTTTCTTTTTGAGGTACGGAACCTTAAAAACACTCGAAATAAAGAGTTAATGATCTTCAATTGCTGAACCGATTTTTATATGTAATATGTCTAAGAACTATTGCTAAAAATTATGCTTTTAAATAAAAAATGTACCTAAATTGGTTCACTTGTTTAAGAGTTACGATGCCATTGACAGACACCCATAGATATATACATATAGCGGTTAAACGTATAACACCCTTCTTTTTGTGTTTGGTGTTAAAAAGGGTAGAATGTTTAAGATTTTGTAATTAATTTTTCTTCACCATTCGCCTATATTACTTATTTTTAATTTTTTCTGCAAATTTGGCCGTACATTGCAAAATAACTCTATATATTTTTCGATTGTAAATTTGTCACTTTGATATGTTTGTTCAAAATACCAAAATTTTCAAAAAGTATGTTTGAAAAATTAACATTTTGGAACATTTTGGTAGTTGGTAGTAAAAAGATAAGTGAGTGAGTATTTAAGAAATTTGGTTATTCGTAATATTGTGTATTTGTACAGCGATCATTTTGAGCCGCTGCAAACAACCGAAACAATGTCGCCTCACGATAGCGACTGACGCCGAACTGAGTGAGTGAGTAAAGTACTGTGTGGCTGTAAGCTCAGAGTGCGGCTTTCGTCTACTTACAGAAATAATTTACTTATAAGGCTACCAAATCAAGGAAAATTTCGCCGTTTTGGAGCCGAAAAAAATTAATTATAGCTAAACAAAACAAAATTACACTGCCATTTACATTCAGTGGCTTCCCACTATATAAACGTTTTACATGTGTAGCTACGCTAGACCGTGAACCATTGTCTGGTGGAGGCAGTGTGTGTGGGCTGGCTACTGGTCGGCGCAGTGCTTCTGTATGGGGCGCGGCGCGGGGCGGCGGCGCGCGGCGAGCAGCGCGGCCGGCAGTGTGTGTGGGCTGGCTATTGGTCAGCGCAGTGCTTCTGTATGGGGCGCGGCGCGGGGCGGCGGCGCGCGGCGAGCAGCGCGGCCGGCAGTGTGTGTGGGCTGGCTATTGGTCAGCGCAGTGCTTCTGTATGGGGCGCGGCGCGGGGCGGCGGCGCGCGGCGAGCAGCGCGGCCGGCAGTGTGTGTGGGCTGGCTATTGGTCAGCGCAGTGCTTCTGTATGGGGCGCGGCGCGGGGCGGCGGCGCGCGGCGAGCAGCGCGGCCGGCAGTGTGTGTGGGCTGGCTATTGGTCAGCGCAGTGCTTCTGTATGGGGCGCGGCGCGGGGCGGCGGCGCGCGGCGAGCAGCGCGGCCAACAGCGCGCGGCCCGCGCCCGCGCACAGCTCGCAGCCGTCGCGCGCGCCCGCCACTCGCGCACCGCCCGCCAGAGAATTCGCTATGTGCCTACGCAATCACAACACATTTTATTTTATTGTCTTTACGAAAACTCACACTTATTTACAAACAATTATTTAATACATTTATATAGAAATTACCGATTATAAGCTTTCCACATGTAGATTATATAATAAAAGAGTAAAGTCGTGGTAAAAAAAGTTTACGATAAAACCAGACAACAATTATCTTTTAACATAACCAATATATAAAAAACATTTCAATTTATAAAATAATTATTAATGTTACGGCCTACGACTGCTCCCTTAAAGGATCAAAACCTCTGGGGCCCATGAGCAGAAGACTTCCCGAACAGACGTAAGTCGGGCCTCAATGTGGCCACGTGGAATTTCTCTAATTACACTAAACTATATGGGGAAGCGTTCTTACCCGGTGATCAAATACTCGACAATAAGAGCAGGGGGGGGGGGGGGGGTTGACGACGACTTGCCTGGCGGATTCAGCCTCTCACTGGGCACGGCTCATAAGTCGTCAACGGCGCCCGTCGCGTTCTCTATCTGCGGGCACTGCTCCAGCAAAAACCACAGCAGGTCATAGAAGGGCGGAATATAGGAGGCCTCGTCCCCGCCGTACCTATCCTCAAAATGGATTCGAAGGTCGAGAGGCAGACGGGACAGCACGATGCGGAGCAACAAAAAAGCCCATTCGCCCACTAGTAAATCCAGCCGCCTCAACGTATTACAGGCCACCAAGACTGGATCCAACAGGTCCGTACGTAGTCTGGCCCGGTCACTAAGCAGCGGGAGGCTTAGAAGCTGCTTAACATGTTCGTCCGCAATTAGCCGGACGTTAGCATATCTTCTAGCTAGGAGATCCAGAGCAGTCTGGTAGGCGTCGTCCGACAATCTCGAGTGGCCGACGACGCCCAGGGCCTCCCCCTCCAGTTAGGCCAGGAGGTACGCCATCTTTTGGCTCGGGGTCAAGTCACTCCGGGCGTCCACTAGGCTGTCGAAAAGACCAACGAAGGTCAGCCATTCGGAAAGGGCCCCGGAGAACTTTGGCGGGTCCAGAGTTGGGAGTCGTCCCAACAGCTCCGGCTGAAGCTGCTCCCGAGAGGACTCGGGCAGGCCACTCATCCGAGCTTCACGCGCCTCCTCGGCATACCTGCCTTCAGCCTCGATCAACTCGTCCGTGAGTGAAAAGAACTGCTCATAGTCCGCGAAGCAGTTTAGTTCAAATACAAATTACAATACAAATAAGATACACATCACGGTCGATCAACAGAAAATGCCTAGCTCGGAAACCGACCCTTCGATAAGTAATCCACTACAACTATCCGACAACGATAATTAACCGATTACGTAAAAATAACCATCTACCTACATGACGTATATCTCCAGAAAAACTCCCGCTTGCGCAACTTAGGGCGCGGGTTTTCAATCTACCCACTAACCAAAAAAAAGGCAAGCAACAAAGGAAAATAATTTTATTATTACGTACAAACAAATATTTTTACGTATTACGGACGGGCGTGATTGTAGATACAAATTAAACCAATCAAACCAACGACCCTGCCACCAGAATTGTTTAATTTTTATCAAACACTATGGTCGGGTCGACCGGGGAATCGAACCCGGAACCACGCTCTGCTACCAGATTGCTTAATTTTTATCAAACACTATGGTCGGGATCGACCGGGGAATGAAACCCGGAACCGCGCTCTGCTACCAGCTTGTTACGGCCTACGGCTGCTCCCTTAAAGGTCAAATCCTCAGGGGCCCATTCAGCTGAGTTTCGACGAGCAGACGTAGGTCGGGCCTCAATGTGGCCACGTGGAATTTCTCTAATTACACTAAACTATATTTGGGAGCGTTCTATACTACGGCCAGTCGACCGGGAGGATATTAGACGGAGCTTACTTACCTATATCCAAGGCGACTGGTCCCTGCGGAGTCGGTCAGGTCGCATGTGGTTGTGTAGTGCAAGGGAAATAAGGTGATGTGATGTGTATCTGGGTGTGACTGATGGTGATTGACCCTAGACCTTGGCCGTCGGCAGCAGCCCGGGCGTCGACACCGCTCCAAATTGAGGGAACCTTCCGCGGCGTTGTCCACAGTCACTTTCCTCGTTCGTCACGATGACAGTCAATTAACTCTATCGTATGATTAACTAACTTACAGAAGCCACTAACTCTCGTTGGGTATAAGGTTAACGCACAAAACGCACACAGAGTTTCCGGATACAAGGTCACTACCGTTTCGCGTAGCAACAGTTATTTCTAGAATATCAAAGGCCGCACTAGCTAATATTGCCGAATGCACTTATGCAGATTCTGAGTCAGACATAATGAGTCCCTGGGAAGCTCTCCAGCAGGAATGCGCGCCACAAATCCTAGACCGTATATTTACTGTCCGCGCCTAATTATTCCGAGTTCCCGACAAAAATGACAGCGTTCTAACGTTAGCACCGCTTACAGACAACTCTTTCGCCTTTACGCATTCTCAACCCACCGCTCGGCCGACGTCAAAACCGGTATGGCACCGAGGCGCGCGCCCTCTCGCGTTAGTTCCTGAAATTAGCGTTTGGCGCGAGTTTAAATAATTAATTTATATTTATATTTAAACTATATTTTAATTAAAATATATTTCATTAACACATCCAGACAAATCATGCGTGTATCTGTGGTTATGACAGAATCTTCAGCACTATAAGTTACCCTGTAGCATTACGCTGAATCATTACCTTTTCACTAGCTCGATATACACCATATCTCTTGTTGTTTTAATCTACCATACGTTTAACTGTTTATTTTTTATTTTTGTGATGTGTATAATTCCAGTTTTCTTTCTTTCTTTCTTAACCAATAAATTATAAATTATGTATCCCCGTAATAGTTAAAAAAATCTACACTAAAACTTTCTCCTGTATCGTGGAAGCAATTTACAAACATAAATTGACAAGCATCCATACCCGGAAAAATTATTCGTAGAGCATATAAATACTTATTCCGTACGGAATTCAAACCCACAACCCTCATCGCTGCACCTCATTACTAATCCACTGCGCCACGGAGCCGTTTTTATTAAAATCACAAATCTGATAGAAAATTCTCCAAAAACTAATAAATAAAACAAATATTTCATGTAAATATCTGCTAATATAGTTCTTCTTCGACATTCAAACAACTTAATGCTTAAGATTATTACTAAAAATAATTTATTTTCATTCATTATCATCATCATTGAACTGTATAAAATAAATTTTAACGTAATAGAAACAAACTACAACTATAAATGTAAAACAAATGAGTCAACTCAACAAATATAATAAATTTTCATTTTCATTATCATCATCATCATCATCAAGCTAATCAAAATCAAAACTCTCTCAAAATATTATGTAAATCGTTTTTAAATCAATACCGACTAACCAATGACAAAATGGCGCAGACGACTATACAAGTATTTAGTCAAATAATTAACGCCCATCTTCCACGTTAACAACACTAATCCTGTCAAAATACAAAAATTAGTGGCTAAGCGTGCTTTATTTCATTTTATCATATAATCAACAAATGAACGCGACGTTAATTACTAACTTAATAAAACCAAAACTATTCGCTCACTATAAATTATTTACACTCTTGCAAACTGCTACACTACCAGGGGCGTAACTACCGCCGTATCAGCCGTATCAACGATACGGGGCGCCCGATCTACAGGGGCCCCGAGAGTGTATAAGGAAAAATTCTAAGTACTTCTATAGGACAGGAAAAGCTATCAGACTTGTCGCTATTGTCTATAGAGGCAGAAAATTTAGACTTTGAAATGAGATTTTGACCTTGACGTATTGATAGTAAAGTACTACCTAATAACACTTTGCGTTATGAGGGGCGTGGAAAAGTGCATTGTTATTTAAATTGTTTGGCTAGTTTAGTTCCTAGGAGTATTAATAGTAAGTGATAGCTTATAATCAATTTATAATTATTTAATTCAATGCATTTTTTTGTCCTCTTTGGGAAAAATCTTTACTCTTCATTTGGGCCCCCCAATATTGATACAGGGTCCGTCTAAGGCAAGCTACCCCACTGTACACTACAGTTTATTATTTATAATGTGTATAAGTTCTTTGACCTACCTGACCATGTGATAAGGCAGGTGATGCGTGCAGATCCATTCAAGTGAGGAGTCTCCGAGCGAAGCGCAGCCACAGAACTTGCCCGCACTCGCGCACGAGAAGAACACAACGACGCGAAAGCCCTCCTGCGGGTAAACGCTCAACTCTTAGTTACTTATATTGTCTAATGATGTATTGTATGGTGACTTAGTGACATATGAACTAGTGGCATCTGGAGGAGTTTTTATGGTATTTGTTTTGGTAATGATATAATCGCAAAGTTCGTGAACCAATATATCTAGTATTGGTCAGTATAGGTCGACTAGAAGTTAGAGGTACATATACTTGTATAATTAGGTACGTTACTATACCATCGTTGTCAGCGCTATTAGGTCTACTACTTGTTCTGCATCTCTATATATAAAAATCAATTGCTGAACGTTAGTCTCGCTAAAACTCGTAACTGACTCGATCTCAATTCTTATAAAATTTTTTGAGTGGGTCCCTGGATGGTTTATATTCACAATTGGACCGGAGCTGTCGTCGAGATCCAGTAAAAACCCGCGCGGAACTGGGGCGGATCGCTAGTTATGAAATAAAAGTTCGTATGTAAACCACCTTTCCTGTGTCAAATAAATAATAAAGTTTTTCATAGTTTCAACAATGTTTGATTTTGATTTATTGACCTGACTATATTTTATAGTGAAGTAGCTGGGCGAGCTTTGCCCGGCGTTAGAAAAAAGAAATATAATTATATCAGGGATGAAAACTAGACAGAAGTAAAACTTTATCTTAATACAAAATTCTCAAAATAGTAAAAATAAAAAAGAAGAAATAATTATTTAAACTTAAAAAACGCGTTAAAAAGATTGTAATTTAATCGACAGCTTTGACTATTCGAGTTCTCGTTTTTTTGGCCACATTTTTTTTATAGGAGAGGGGGCAAACGAGCATGCGGCTCACCTGATGGTAAGTGAATACCGCCCATGAATAACCGCAACACCAGGGGAATTGCAGTTGCGATGTGCGTTCGTGAAATTTGGCGGCTGGGATTAAACCGAACAATTCCTCAGAGCACTCCCCATGGTAAATGCGAAAGAAAATGCTAAGAGATGCAACATCTCTTCGCAGTGCCAATGAGTCGAGCCGATCGGAAAGGACTCGGTCGTCGACGATTCGAGCCGCTCTGCGCTGGATGCGGTCAAGTGGAAGGAGTTGGCACTAGGGAGCCCCTGCCCAGAGATGGGAACAGTATTCCATGTGAGGCCGAACCTGCGCCTTGTAAAGTTGCAGGCGGTGTGCCGGCATGAAATACTGTCCCGCTATGCTGAGCACGCCAAGCTTTTTAGAGGCCAATTTGGCCTTCTCTTCCAAGTGACCACGAAACTGCACGTCACTCGATATGTTGACGCCGAGAATTCCGATACTGGCTGAGGCAACAAGGGGAGTCACTAATCAGCTGGTGATCCTCAAGGTACCGCATGAGGTGGCAGTTTATAACGGATTCCATTATTTTGGAGAACAAGGGGGTGATGGCAATAGGCCTGTAGTTGGACGGGTCTGAGCGGTCGCCTTTTTTAGGGATCGGGTGGACAAAAGCTGTCTTCCATGATTTCGGGAAAGATCCAATAAAGTAACTTTTTGTCCACCGTTGTCGAAACGCTGACTTCGTACTGGACAGATACGCATGGAGCGGGAAAAGGAAGGAAATCCCCGCCTTAACGCATTGTACTTTTATTACAAGGAGACAAGGAGTACTTCATAAGACCAAAATGAAGGAAATTCCCGCCTTAACGCATTGTAGTTTTATTACAAGAGGACAAAGAGTACTTAGTAATACCAAAAGGAAGGAGATTTCCGCCTTAACACATTGTAGTTTTATTACAAGAGGACAAAGAGTACTTAGTAATACCAAAAGGAAGGAAATTTCCGCCTTAACGCATTGTAGTTTTATTACAAGGGGACAAAGAGTACTTAGTAATACCAAAAGGAAGGAGATTTCCGCCTTAACACATTGTAGTTTTATTACAAGAGGACAAAGAGTACTTAGTAATACCAAAAGGAAGGAAATTTCCGCCTTAACGCATTGTAGTTTTATTACAAGGGGACAAAGAGTACTTAGTAATACCAAAAGGAAGGAGATTTCCGCCTTAACACATTGTAGTTTTATTACAAGAGGACAAAGAGTACTTAGTAATACCAAAAGGAAGGAAATTTCCGCCTTAACGCATTGTAGTTTTATTACAAGGGGACAAGGAGTACTTCATAAGACCAAAATGAAGGAAATTCCCGCCTTAACGCATTGTACTTTTATTACAAGGGGACAAGGATTACTTACTAATACCAAAAGGAAGGAGATTTCCGCCTTAACGCATTGTAGTTTTATTACAAGAGGACAAAGAGTACTTAGTAATACCAAAAGGAAGGAGATTTCCGCCTTAACACATTGTAGTTTTATTACAAGAGGACAAAGAGTACTTAGTAATACCAAAAGGAAGGAAATTTCCACCTTAACGCTTTGTAATTTTATTACAAGGGGACAAAGAGTACTTCCTAAGACCAAAAGGAAGGAAATTCCCGCCTTAACGCATTGTACTTTTATTACAAGGAGACAAGGAGTACTTCATAAGACCAAAATGAAGGAAGTTCCCGCCTTAAAGCTTTGTAGTTTAATTACAAGGGGACAAAGAGTACTTAGTAATACCAAAAGGAAGGAAATTTCCGCCTTAACGCATTGTAGTTTTATTACAAGGGGACAAAGAGTACTTAGTAATACCAAAAGGAAGGAAATTTCCGCCTTAACGCTTTGTAGTTTTATTACAAGGGAACAAAGAGTACTTAGTAATACCAAAAGGAAGGAAATTTCCGCCTTAACGCTTTGTAGTTTTATTACAAGGGGACAAAGAGTACTTAGTAATACCAAAAGGAAGGAAATTTCCGCCTTAACGCATTGTAGTTTTATTACAAGAGGACAAAGAGTACTTAGTAATACCAAAAGGAAGGAGATTTCCGCCTTAACACATTGTAGTTTTATTACAAGAGGACAAAGAGTACTTAGTAATACCAAAAGGAAGGAAATTTCCGCCTTAACGCATTGTAGTTTTATTACAAGGGGACAAAGAGTACTTAGTAATACCAAAAGGAAGGAAATTTCCGCCTTAACGCATTGTAGTTTGATTACAAGGGGGTAATAAAACTACAATGTGTTAAGGCGGAAATCTCCTTCCTTTTGGTATTACTAAGTAATCCTTGTCCCCTTGTAATAAAAGTACAATGCGTTAAGGCGGGAATTTCCTTCCTTTTGGTCTTAGGAAGTACTCTTTGTCCCCTTGTAATAAAACTACAATGCGTTAAGGCGGAAATTTCCTTCCTTTTGGTATTACTAAGTACTCTTTGTCCCCTTGTAATCAAACTACAATGCGTTAAGGCGGAAATCTCCTTCCTTTTGGTATTACTAAGTACTCTTTGTCCCCTTGTAATAAAACTACAAAGCGTTAAGGCGGAAATTTCCTTCCTTTTGGTATTACTAAGTACTCTTTGTCCCCTTGTAATAAAACTACAAAGCGTTAAGGCGGAAATTTCCTTCCTTTTGGTATTACTAAGTACTCTTTGTCCCCTTGTAATAAAACTACAATGCGTTAAGGCGGGAATTTCCTTCATTTTGGTCTTATGAAGTACTCCTTGTCTCCTTGTAATAAAAGTGCAATGCGTTAAGGCGGAAATTTCCTTCCTTTTGGTCTTAGGAAGTACTCTTTGTCCCCTTGTAATAAAAGTACAATGCGTTAAGGCGGGAATTTCCTTCATTTTGGTCTTATGAAGTACTCCTTGTCTCCTTGTAATAAAAGTACAATGCGTTAAGGCGGGAATTTCCTTCCTTTTGGTCTTAGGAAGTACTCTTTGTCCCCTTGTAATAAAACTACAATGCGTTAAGGCGGAAATTTCCTTCCTTTTGGTATTACTAAGTACTCTTTGTCCCCTTGTAATCAAACTACAATGCGTTAAGGCGGAAATTTCCTTCCTTTTGGTATTACTAAGTACTCTTTGTCCTCTTGTAATAAAACTACAATGTGTTAAGGCGGAAATCTCCTTCCTTTTGGTATTACTAAGTACTCTTTGTCCTCTTGTAATAAAACTACAATGCGTTAAGGCGGGAATTTCCTTCCTTTTGGTCTTAGGAAGTACTCTTTGTCCCCTTGTAATAAAACTACAAAGCGTTAAGGCGGAAATTTCCTTCCTTTTGGTATTACTAAGTACTCTTTGTCCTCTTGTAATAAAACTACAATGCGTTAAGGCGGAAATTTCCTTCCTTTTGGTATTACTAAGTACTCTTTGTCCCCTTGTAATAAAACTACAAAGCGTTAAGGCGGAAATTTCCTTCCTTTTGGTATTACTAAGTACTCTTTGTCCCCTTGTAATAAAACTACAATGCGTTAAGGCGGGAATTTCCTTCATTTTGGTCTTATGAAGTACTCCTTGTCTCCTTGTAATCCTTTTGGTCTTTTGGTCTTGGTTTGTAGTTTTATTACAAGGGGACAAAGAGTACTTAGTAATACCAAAAGGAAGGAAATTTCCGCCTTAACGCTTTGTAGTTTTATTACAAGGGGACAAAGAGTACTTCATAAGACCAAAATGAAGGAAATTCCCGCCTTAACGCATTGTAGTTTTATTACAAGGGGACAAAGAGTACTTCATAAGACCAAAATGAAGGAAATTCCCGCCTTAAAGCTTTGTAGTTTAATTACAAGGGGACAAAGAGTACTTAGTAATACCAAAAGGAAGGAAATTTCCGCCTTAACGCTTTGTAGTTTTATTACAAGGGGACAAAGAGTACTTAGTAATACCAAAAGGAAGGAAATTTCCGCCTTAACGCTTTGTAGTTTTATTACAAGGGGACAAAGAGTACTTCATAAGACCAAAATGAAGGAAATTCCCGCCTTAACGCATTGTAGTTTTATTACAAGGGGACAAAGAGTACTTAGTAATACCAAAAGGAAGGAAATTTCCGCCTTAACGCATTGCACTTTTATTACAAGGAGACAAGGAGTACTTCATAAGACCAAAATGAAGGAAATTCCCGCCTTAACGCATTGTAGTTTTATTACAAGGGGACAAAGAGTACTTAGTAATACCAAAAGGAAGGAAATTTCCGCCTTAACGCTTTGTAGTTTTATTACAAGGGGACAAAGAGTACTTAGTAATACCAAAAGGAAGGAAATTTCCGCCTTAACGCTTTGTAGTTTTATTACAAGGGGACAAAGAGTACTTAGTAATACCAAAAGGAAGGAGATTTCCGCCTTAACGCATTGTAGTTTGATTACAAGGGGACAAAGAGTACTTAGTAATACCAAAAGGAAGGAAATTTCCGCCTTAACGCATTGTAGTTTTATTACAAGGGGACAAAGAGTACTTCCTAAGACCAAAAGGAAGGAAATTCCCGCCTTAACGCATTGTACTTTTATTACAAGGGGACAAGGATTACTTAGTAATACCAAAAGGAAGGAGATTTCCGCCTTAACACATTGTAGTTTTATTACAAGAGGACAAAGAGTACTTAGTAATACCAAAAGGTAGGAAATTCCCGCCTTAACGCATTGTACTTTTATTACAAGGAGACAAGGAGTACTTCATAAGACCAAAATGAAGGAAATTCCCGCCTTAACGCATTGTAGTTTTATTACAAGGGGACAAAGAGTACTTAGTAATACCAAAAGGAAGGAAATTTCCGCCTTAACGCTTTGTAGTTTTATTACAAGGGGACAAAGAGTACTTAGTAATACCAAAAGGAAGGAAATTTCCGCCTTAACGCTTTGTAGTTTTATTACAAGGGGACAAAGAGTACTTAGTAATACCAAAAGGAAGGAAATTTCCGCCTTAACGCTTTGTAGTTTTATTACAATGGGAAAAAGAGTACTTAGTAATACCAAAAGGAAGGAAATTTCCGCCTTAACGCATTGTAGTTTTATTACAAGGGGACAAAGAGTACTTCCTAAGACCAAAAGGAAGGAAATTCCCGCCTTAACGCATTGTACTTTTATTACAAGGGGACAAAGAGTACTTAGTAATACCAAAAGGAAGGAAATTTCCGCCTTAACGCTTTGTAGTTTTATTACAAGGGGACAAAGAGTACTTAGTAATACCAAAAGGAAGGAAATTTCCGCCTTAACGCTTTGTAGTTTTATTACAAGGGGACAAAGAGTACTTAGTAATACCAAAAGGAAGGAAATTTCCGCCTTAACGCTTTGTAGTTTTATTACAAGGGGACAAAGAGTACTTCATAAGACCAAAATGAAGGAAATTCCCGCCTTAACGCATTGTAGTTTTATTACAAGGGGACAAAGAGTACTTAGTAATACCAAAAGGAAGGAAATTTCCGCCTTAACGCTTTGTAGTTTTATTACAAGGGGACAAAGAGTACTTAGTAATACCAAAAGGTAGGAAATTCCCGCCTTAACGCATTGTACTTTTATTACAAGGAGACAAGGAGTACTTAGTAATACCAAAAGGAAGGAAATTTCCGCCTTAACGCTTTGTAGTTTTATTACAAGGGGACAAAGAGTACTTAGTAATACCAAAAGGAAGGAGATTTCCGCCTTAACGCATTGTAGTTTGATTACAAGGGGACAAAGAGTACTTAGTAATACCAAAAGGAAGGAAATTTCCGCCTTAACGCATTGTAGTTTTATTACAAGGGGACAAAGAGTACTTCCTAAGACCAAAAGGAAGGAAATTCCCGCCTTAACGCATTGTACTTTTATTACAAGGGGACAAGGATTACTTAGTAATACCAAAAGGAAGGAGATTTCCGCCTTAACACATTGTAGTTTTATTACAAGAGGACAAAGAGTACTTAGTAATACCAAAAGGTAGGAAATTCCCGCCTTAACGCATTGTACTTTTATTACAAGGAGACAAGGAGTACTTCATAAGACCAAAATGAAGGAAATTCCCGCCTTAACGCATTGTAGTTTTATTACAAGGGGACAAAGAGTACTTAGTAATACCAAAAGGAAGGAAATTTCCGCCTTAACGCTTTGTAGTTTTATTACAAGGGGACAAAGAGTACTTAGTAATACCAAAAGGAAGGAAATTTCCGCCTTAACGCTTTGTAGTTTTATTACAAGGGGACAAAGAGTACTTAGTAATACCAAAAGGAAGGAAATTTCCGCCTTAACGCATTGTAGTTTGATTACAAGGGGACAAAGAGTACTTAGTAATACCAAAAGGAAGGAAATTTCCGCCTTAACGCATTGTAGTTTTATTACAAGGGGACAAAGAGTACTTCCTAAGACCAAAAGGAAGGAAATTCCCGCCTTAACGCATTGTACTTTTATTACAAGGGGACAAGGATTACTTAGTAATACCAAAAGGAAGGAGATTTCCGCCTTAACACATTGTAGTTTTATTACAAGAGGACAAAGAGTACTTAGTAATACCAAAAGGTAGGAAATTCCCGCCTTAACGCATTGTACTTTTATTACAAGGAGACAAGGAGTACTTCATAAGACCAAAATGAAGGAAATTCCCGCCTTAACGCATTGTAGTTTTATTACAAGGGGACAAAGAGTACTTAGTAATACCAAAAGGAAGGAAATTTCCGCCTTAACGCTTTGTAGTTTTATTACAAGGGGACAAAGAGTACTTAGTAATACCAAAAGGAAGGAAATTTCCGCCTTAACGCTTTGTAGTTTTATTACAAGGGGACAAAGAGTACTTAGTAATACCAAAAGGAAGGAAATTTCCGCCTTAACGCATTGTAGTTTTATTACAAGGGGACAAAGAGTACTTCCTAAGACCAAAAGGAAGGAAATTCCCGCCTTAACGCATTGTACTTTTATTACAAGGGGACAAAGAGTACTTAGTAATACCAAAAGGAAGGAAATTTCCGCCTTAACGCTTTGTAGTTTTATTACAAGGGGACAAAGAGTACTTAGTAATACCAAAAGGAAGGAAATTTCCGCCTTAACGCTTTGTAGTTTTATTACAAGGGGACAAAGAGTACTTAGTAATACCAAAAGGAAGGAAATTTCCGCCTTAACGCTTTGTAGTTTTATTACAAGGGGACAAAGAGTACTTCATAAGACCAAAATGAAGGAAATTCCCGCCTTAACGCATTGTAGTTTTATTACAAGGGGACAAAGAGTACTTAGTAATACCAAAAGGAAGGAAATTTCCGCCTTAACGCTTTGTAGTTTTATTACAAGGGGACAAAGAGTACTTAGTAATACCAAAAGGTAGGAAATTCCCGCCTTAACGCATTGTACTTTTATTACAAGGAGACAAGGAGTACTTCATAAGACCAAAATGAAGGAAATTCCCGCCTTAACGCATTGTAGTTTTATTACAAGGGGACAAAGAGTACTTAGTAATACCAAAAGGAAGGAAATTTCCGCCTTAACGCTTTGTAGTTTTATTACAAGGGGACAAAGAGTACTTAGTAATACCAAAAGGAAGGAAATTTCCGCCTTAACGCTTTGTAGTTTTATTACAAGGGGACAAAGAGTACTTAGTAATACCAAAAGGAAGGAAATTTCCGCCTTAACGCTTTGTAGTTTTATTACAAGGGGACAAAGAGTACTTCCTAAGACCAAAAGGAAGGAATTCCCGCCTTAACGCATTGTAGTTTTATTACAAGGCGACAAAGAGTACTTCATAAGACCAAAAGGAAGGAAATTCCCGCATTAACCCATTGTAGTTTTATTACAAGGGGAAAAGGAGTACTTCATAAGGCCAAAAGGAAGGAAATTCCCGCTATAACGCATTGTAGTTTTATTACAAGGGGACAAGTACTTCATAAGACCAAAAGGAAGGAAATTCCCGCCTTAACGCATTGTAGTTTTATTACAAGGGGACAAGGAAGGCAAAAGGAAGTACAAATTCAAGACATTTTTTTTTTTCAAAGTTGCCATCTTGTAGGTAGTGACATAATTCCGTTGCTGTAGAAATCTTGGGATTTTTGATCAAATGAAAAATTCGACTATTAGTTTTGATAGTCCTCTCTTGATGTTAACCTTACATTACCTAAAGAATTCTGAAGAGACCGAAACAGGTAAAAATCTGAGGGTGCAGGTCAGGACTATATGTTGGATGCATTAACACTTCCCAACCAAGCTCTCTCAAACTGAGTGGCCAAAGATGTGTGTAGTCTGGCGTTATCATGATGAAAAGTCACTTCGGGCCACGATCCGGGAGTTTAGGGCATCAGAAATAACACGCTGAGATTGTATTGAACCTTTTCCTCTGGATAAGAAATTTCAAATATTATACTAGCGATCCACCCCGGCTTCGCATGGGTGATTTTTGGTTCTCGACGACAGCGTCACCTACTGGTTACAGTTGTTAATCTAAAAAATCGAATCAACTTAACCACACAATTTTTTTTTCAAAATCGTTCCACCCGTTAAGGAGGATTTCAGTCACATACAGACGGACAGAATAATTTTATATATAAAGACTAGAACCATCTATTGATAAACGCGTCAACAATAGATGTAGTCTATGGGCCACAGCATCCACTTACCATCAGGTGGACTATGTGCGGGTTTTTTCATTCTTATTCTATTAAAAATAGGGTAAATTTAAGGATATCTCACCTGTTTGATTTTCTGCAACTTCTTGGCGGTGTTCTGTGTGAAGTTAAATGTATTACTAGTTTGTGCCAGCTCCACACTGTGGACGTCATCAGCCTTCACTACGAAGTACCTCGTATTGCTATCGTTATTTTCCGCATATTTCTCGATATTTGCTAATAGAGTCTTTCCATTTGGTGATATTGGACTTTTTGGACCACTGTAAGATTGCGGTGAGAAACCTTGAGGCATCCCATCGTTCCTCCAACCAGGACGTTGTCCGTTTCTATATCCGTACGAGTTTTGATAGAAGTTGTTCGCGAATTCATTCTGACTGTACTGCGGGTAGAATTTGCTGTTATCATGACGGTACTGCTCATCGTTATCTACTCGCATGCGCCAATTCGGCGAATCAACTGTGAGAGGTTTTGGTCTCTGTCCTATACCGCTGGGTTGATTTAAGCCGACATTTTTCTCTTCAGCTCCCATTATGTGAACGACCGTGCTTAGAATCTGCTCATCCAAAGGAGTCATCGGTTTCGCTGGATTCGACATTCTTCGTATAACTAAAGCACATAGCTTCTGTCTTAAATAGTAAACGTTGATTGCATCTGAGGCGTCCGCTGTGAAAGCCATCCAGTCATCCAAAGTCAGAACAGCCGTATCTGGTGAGGAGTTGTTTTCTTCGGCTTCACTATCCGAGTCACTTGAAAGTCCGGGAGGATTCGCCCGCTGTGTCAATGCGCCAGCTGGTAATCTTAATGGGCCACCGAACAGCGCCACGGTCAAAGGCGTTACCAGCGTATTACATCTTATAAAGCAGAATCTACCCGCTCTGGAAATCTCTTCGAACACAACCCAGTCTGTCGGCAGATTTTGTACAGACTTCTGGGAACCACTGATGCCGCCACCGCGATTAAGCGTCGAACTAGGGTGGAAAGCCACTTTCACTTCTTTAGATGTTCGGAGCGTTGACGAATCTCGATCTACCCTCGCTATCGAAGGATACAAACCACTAACAAGCACAGCTTTAACCACGTGCCATTTTTCAGAGTTCAAATTGACATCTTTTATATCACCGGACCCTCGAGCTTTGACGAGACACAACGCTCTAAGCTGAGCCAGCAATTGCGATCGATACCCAACTATCATTTCCATGGTTGCTCCACAAATAAGGTTCTTCGCGCAGAATGCTCTTTCTGTGCCATTCGCTCGGGCTGTCTGCCATGCTTGGAATGCTCGCAACAAAGCCATATGATCTGAGAAACTATCCGCAGCGAATTCTTTTCGGGCCATACTTCCTCGCTTTCGGTTCTCAGGATTCATTGATATCTGGAAAGGTTCTTTGTTAGCCAAACTGCAGACTATCGTTAATATTGGGTCCAGGCACTTCATGACACAAGCGTAAAGCAGCATTTTTCCTAGTTTTGGCTCAACAGTCAAATCTAATAGATGTTGTCCAATCTCCGTTAGATCCTCCATTGGCGTCAGAGCACCTATTGTCTTAAGAAGCGTCACAGCGTTGCGCACGGCTAGAAACGACGGTGGTTCGAGAGCTTTCGATAAAAAGTCGGCTATAGGAGTGTTGCCAGGAGCAAGAAGTTTCGTGTGCAGACACAACTCCTGTAAAGGTACTCTAAGTATCTCAGGAATCGAATTGAGGGGTAACGTTTTAAATCTTCGTTTCGAGCACATGTGGAAGCAATGCCCCGGTTTAGTTCTACCCGCACGGCCGGCCCTTTGCTGGCAACATGCTCTAGAAGTCCACACGCATTGTAAGGAGCACACGCCTCCGTTAGATTCGTAGTATTTTTCTTTTACTTTACAAGAATCTACCACATAAACAACGTCGTCAATCGTAATAGAAGTTTCAGCTATGTTAGTGGAAATTATGATCTTCCTGGCGTTTGGTAGGGGATTGAAGACTTTCTTCTGGTCCAGAGTCTGCATGTTACTGTGTAAAGTGAATATCTGATATTTCATCACGTTCATTTCCGAGCAGGACTGTATCAGATCTCTTAGTGTCACAATATCGTCGTAGCCTGGCAAGAAAACTAATATACTGCCTTTGGGTAAATTTACATGGATGTGCTTTATCAGAGCCAGCATCAACTCATGGTCTATCAACTCTTCAGAGACTGAGTGATGGTAGACGTCAAGGAGGAAGTTGTCTGCTGCGTTGTCTTCTTCTTGATTGTCTTTCGATTCGTCGTTTAAACTAAAAGTAGCTAAAAGTTTTGCGCATTCCGTGTGACCGTTTTCGACAGCGTAATCGTATGCAGTTTTGCCATTTTTGTCCTTGATATTGGGATCCGCTCCTACAGAAAGAAAACAAAACATATTTTTATAAACTGAAAAAGATATTTTTTTGTTATTTTCCCGCGCCGTGTGAACACGTAGAACACACCACGCCGTGGGAGGCCAAAACACCATTAACATCTATATTCTTAATAAAGGTTGACTAGAAAAAATGACTTGATGAATCCACTATCCCATATCATCCCGTGGGTGTCGTAAGAGGCGGCAGAAGAAATGAAAAAGGAGAGGTACTTCTTGATAACAACTCAAAAGAATACAAAACTGCGACTGCCAACCTTCTGCCAAGCATGGCAACTATGGTACTTACACACACTATTAATCAATGTATGGGAGAGGTTCCACAGTGGACGTTTAACATATGAATGAAAAGGAAATGAGTTAATAATTAAATCAATATTATCCAGACTTAACTAGAAGCGTTACGAAAAAGTCAGGCAGTAGTATATCATTTTTTATTTAATGAGATATTTTATACTGTTTAAGTCCACCACATATAACTAAACCCATATTTTTTTAACAGGAAAACTATTGAGGTATGTCAATAAAGCGTAACCACTGGTATCTTTTCTCATTGCTTGAAGAGATGGTAAAATTCTAAAAACAATACCAATAAAATTAAAAAGGAAGAATCACCAATATGCAGTATCTGCGCGGCGGTCTCGGTGAGTCCGTGGCTGGCGGCGGCCATGAGGCCGGTGAGGCCCGAGCGTGACTGAGCGCACTGCGGAGGCACGCCCTCCGACAGGTACATGTACAGGATCTGACAGAACGAGTCCTGCAACACACAACACAAGCTCTCGTCACGCTCGCACCAAGTGCACTAATACTAGCAATAGCAATAGCACTAGCACTAACACTAGAATGCCCTCCGACAGGTACATGTACAGGATCTGACAGAACGAGTCCTGCAACACACAACACAAGCTCTCGTCACGCTCGCACCAAGTGCACTAATACTAGCAATAGCAATAGCACTAGCACTAACACTAGAATGCCCTCCGACAGGTACATGTACAGGATCTGACAGAACGAGTCCTGCAACACACAACACAAGCTCTCGTCACGCTCGCACCAAGTGCACTAATACTAGCAATAGCAATAGCACTAGCACTAACACTAGAATGCCCTCCGACAGGTACATGTACAGGATCTGACAGAACGAGTCCTGCAACACACAACACAAGCTCTCGTCACGCTCGCACCAAGTGCACTAATACTAGCAATAGCAATAGCACTAGCACTAACACTAGAATGCCCTCCGACAGGTACATGTACAGGATCTGACAGAACGAGTCCTGCAACACACAACACAAGCTCTCGTCACGCTCGCACCAAGTGCACTAATACTAGCAATAGCAATAGCACTAGCACTAGCACTAACACTAGAATGCCCTCCGACAGGTACATGTACAGGATCTGACAGAACGAGTCCTGCAACACACAACACAAGCTCTCGTCACGCTCGCACCAAGTGCACTAATACTAGCAATAGCAATAGCACTAGCACTAACACTAGAATGCCCTCCGACAGGTACATGTACAGGATCTGACAGAACGAGTCCTGCAACACACAACACAAGCTCTCGTCACGCTCGCACCAAGTGCACTAATACTAGCAATAGCAATAGCACTAGCACTAGCACTAACACTAGAATGCCCTCCGACAGGTACATGTACAGGATCTGACAGAACGAGTCCTGCAACACACAACACAAGCTCTCGTCACGCTCGCACCAAGTGCACTAATACTAGCAATAGCAATAGCACTAGCACTAGCACTAACACTAGAATGCCCTCCGACAGGTACATGTACAGGATCTGACAGAACGAGTCCTGCAACACACAACACAAGCTCTCGTCACGCTCGCACCAAGTGCACTAATACTAGCAATAGCAATAGCACTAGCACTAGCACTAACACTAGAATGCCCTCCGACAGGTACATGTACAGGATCTGACAGAACGAGTCCTGCAACACACAACACAAGCTCTCGTCACGCTCGCACCAAGTGCACTAATACTAGCAATAGCAATAGCACTAGCACTAGCACTAACACTAGAATGCCCTCCGACAGGTACATGTACAGGATCTGACAGAACAAATCGTGTAACACACACAACACGCTCGCGTCACGCACGCACTATGTACACTAGCACTAACAATAGCACTAGTACTAGTACTAGCACTATCACGCACTCCGACAGGCATATGTATAGGATCTGACAGAACGAGTCCTGCAACATACACAGCACACGCTCTCGTCACGCACGCACCATGTGCACTAACACTAGCAATAGCACTAGTAATAGCACTAACACTATCACGCACTCCGACAGACATATGTATAGGATCTGACAGAACGAGCCCTGCAACATACACAGCACACGCTCTCGTCACGCACGCACCATGTGCACTATCACGCACTCCGACAGGCATATGTATAGGATCTGACAGAACGAGTCCTGCAACATACACAGCACACGCTCTCGTCACGCACGCACCATGTGCACTAACACTAGCAATAGCACTAGTACTAGCACTAGCACTATCACGCACTCCGACAGGCATATGTATAGGATCTGACAGAACGAGTCCTGCAACATACACAGCACACGCTCTCGTCACGCACGCACCATGTGCACTAACACTAGCAATAGCACTAGTAATAGCACTAGCACTATCACGCACTCCGACAGACATATGTATAGGATCTGACAGAACGAGCCCTGCAACATACACAGCACACGCTCTCGTCACGCACGCACCATGTGCACTATCACGCACTCCGACAGACATATGTATAGGATCTGACAGAACGAGTCCTGCAACATACACAGCACACGCTCTCGTCACGCACGCACCATGTGCACTAACACTAGCAATAGCACTAGTACTAGCACTAGCACTATCACGCACTCCGACAGGCATATGTATAGGATCTGACAGAACGAGTCCTGCAACATACACAGCACACGCTCTCGTCACGCACGCACCATGTGCACTAACACTAGCAATAGCACTAGTACTAGCACTAGCACTATCACGCACTCCGACAGGCATATGTATAGGATCTGACAGAACGAGTCCTGCAACATACACAGCACACGCTCTCGTCACGCACGCACCATGTGCACTAACACTAGCAATAGCACTAGTACTAGCACTAGCACTATCACGCACTCCGACAGGCATATGTATAGGATCTGACAGAACGAGTCCTGCAACATACACAGCACACGCTCTCGTCACGCACGCACCATGTGCACTAACACTAGCAATAGCACTAGTACTAGCACTAGCACTATCACGCACTCCGACAGGCATATGTATAGGATCTGACAGAACGAGTCCTGCAACATACACAGCACACGCTCTCGTCACGCACGCACCATGTGCACTAACACTAGCAATAGCACTAGTACTAGCACTAGCACTATCACGCACTCCGACAGGCATATGTATAGGATCTGACAGAACGAGTCCTGCAACATACACAGCACACGCTCTCGTCACGCACGCACCATGTGCACTAACACTAGCAATAGCACTAGTACTAGCACTAGCACTATCACGCACTCCGACAGGCATATGTATAGGATCTGACAGAACGAGTCCTGCAACATACACAGCACACGCTCTCGTCACGCACGCACCATGTGCACTAACACTAGCAATAGCACTAGTACTAGCACTAGCACTATCACGCACTCCGACAGGCATATGTATAGGATCTGACAGAACGAGTCCTGCAACATACACAGCACACGCTCTCGTCACGCACGCACCATGTGCACTAACACTAGCAATAGCACTAGTACTAGCACTAGCACTATCACGCACTCCGACAGGCATATGTATAGGATCTGACAGAACGAGTCCTGCAACATACACAGCACACGCTCTCGTCACGCACGCACCATGTGCACTAACACTAGCAATAGCACTAGTACTAGCACTAGCACTATCACGCACTCCGACAGGCATATGTATAGGATCTGACAGAACGAGTCCTGCAACATACACAGCACACGCTCTCGTCACGCACGCACCATGTGCACTAACACTAGCAATAGCACTAGTACTAGCACTAGCACTATCACGCACTCCGACAGGCATATGTATAGGATCTGACAGAACGAGTCCTGCAACATACACAGCACACGCTCTCGTCACGCACACACCATGTGCACTAACACTAGCAATAGCACTAGTACTAGCACTAGCACTATCACGCACTCCGACAGGCATATGTATAGGATCTGACAGAACGAGTCCTGCAACATACACAGCACACGCTCTCGTCACGCACGCACCATGTGCACTAACACTAGCAATAGCACTAGTACTAGCACTAGCACTATCACGCACTCCGACAGGCATATGTATAGGATCTGACAGAACGAGTCCTGCAACATACACAGCACACGCTCTCGTCACGCACGCACCATGTGCACTAACACTAGCAATAGCACTAGTACTAGCACTAGCACTATCACGCACTCCGACAGGCATATGTATAGGATCTGACAGAACGAGTCCTGCAACATACACAGCACACGCTCTCGTCACGCACGCACCGTGTTCACTAGCACTAACAATAGCACTTGCACTATTTTTAGTGCAATAAACGCTCTCTACGGAATCGGACACAGCCTACATCGACATCCGATACATCAATTATATGTTACACAATCTCCCTTGTAAAATTGTGGTCATACCTAAACATTAATATAAAAAAAGCGTAAAAAGGAAGGCTTCATGAGCGGATCTATCTCTTTCTTTTACTTCTTCGGTGTGGTCAACAGTAATCTTGTATCACAATTTGTGGACCACATGAAGTGAAAATATATTATCCAACAATGGTGTAGAGTCTTTGATTCAATGGTTCGATTCAAAAACGCACTAAGCTTATTTTAAGTTATCTTTTACTATTTGTGAAAAGAAGAAAGAGAGAGCATGAATTTTAATTCTGTCAAATTAGTTCATGCAGTTCATTTCTGTGTTTTTAATTGTTAAAATTGTTCGGGGATTTAAGTTAGAAAGAACTGACCGCATTAAAATAATTGCCATATCTTAGTTTTGGTGTGCGTAAGTTAAAATAGCAATAGTTTAAAATAAGTTAAGTGCGTTTTTAACTGAATATCATAGACGAGTGCAAGTATTTCATTGCAAATTGGACGTAGTTACACAAAAACGTTCCAACCCACAAGTTTTTATATTTAACTCATTTTTGAATGAATTGCGGGTTGGAACGTTTTTATATAACTACGTCATATGAAGATGTCAAAATAAGTAGGTCTGTATATTTAACTCATTATTGAATGACTTGTGGGTTGGAACGTTTTTGTATAACTACGTTCAATTGTGTATAAGACTAGCCTTATTCGTGTTTTTTACTGTTACTGTGCACATTGAAGACATAGTTTACTTCAATATAAGTACAAAAATCAACAACAAAAGACGTTACAAACCTATTTCAAAAAAGAATGAAGGCAAAGTCTTTGACCATACAGCCTTATTTGGTGTGTATTTATTGCCAAAATTCTTCACAATATGCTGTTGAACGAATACGAAGTTGGTGAAGCTAGTACTCAGCCGCGTCAACGTGGATAAAATACTTAATATTCTTAACACCATTGATACACTTATAACATCGTTTCCACTAATTCCGTAGGGAAAGAACGTGATACAGACATTTCTTAACGCGTATGAGCTATAATGTTATTTTCCATTTATTTGAAAGCAAGATTGCCAGACTTTCAAGCGAGCTAAAACATTATTGTCTTCTTACGCTTTTGTTAGACCAAAAATTTATGCTAGCTTTGATAAAGTTTTTTGTAAGTAAAATAGCAGGGATAAGCAAAAATAATTAAATCCACAGGCAATCATACAGCATGGAACTAGTTTAGGATTCATATAAAGTAACAGTGTTGCAACTTTAATGTCTTATGGACACTTACCAAACTGCCTTCTTTAAAACACTCTTCTAGAAAATCGTCCATGTCAGCCTGCAGTGCTGGATCGATTATATTCTCCTTCTCTTCTTTACTGATACTGCTACTGCTGCCCTCTTCTGCATTTTGTTTTTGACCTGCAGAGATAAAGGGTTTGCTAATGAGTTAGGTATTATCAAGATTTAGCTAAGAGCAGTGCAGTGGACATTTTCTTGTCCGAAAACTCTCTTAGATATTCAGATAAGAGAGGAAGCCTGTACTAAACTGAGGGACGTATATAGAATGTAACTTAACTATACTACCTAAGAAAATGAGGCATATGGACAGAAATGTTGCTTATATTTTTTGCTCTAGAATCGAACTCAGGACCAACAATACAGAGCGTTATATTGTTACGACAGCCACTTACACCAGAAAGTCTACTCCGGGAAGCGAGTACGATCAATCGACTCATGACATCTGCGATTATTAAGGACCCCTTAGAAGAAAAAACAAATTTTCCAAACCATTGGTAAAAGTAAAAAATGACTTTCAATAAGAATTACATGTACATCTATTCTATTGTATCCTAATGTTATATTATTGATAGACACATTTCCATACCTTCAAGGTGCGACCAGTAGCTCTGCCCGGACTTGAGCTTCTGCCTGAGCTCACGTTCCGCCTGCAACATCTTCTTGCTGCGGTATTGCGTTATCTTGAGCACATCCTCCAAATAGTAGCGTTGCACCTCGTACAAACGACCAGGGATAGTGATCACCTGGCAATTGTTGAAGTATCTGGAAATTTGAAAAAAAAAAATCAGTTGTATATTTATTAATGTAGCCTGTTGATTCTCCAATCACTATACAAAAAAAACTAAAAAAGATTATAAGCCTGCCTTCAAAGAATTGTTTTTAGATATCTTTTCCTATATATATTGCTACCACAATATTATCCCAGGACTGGACATTTAACCTGAAAAACTCAAATCTATCCATTCATTACAGTCTATAAAAGTTCACTCCTGAACACAGCAGCATCTTCCTGATACCAACTCGGAAATATAAAAAGCTGCGGGTATCCGCCTACCAAGAATAGAAAATATGGCAAAATTCCTAGAGGCCTATGTTCAAAGGCGGACTTTTTTCATGAATGGAATGAATAATGGACATAAAACTCACCTGGAGAATATCTGCGTGTCGCAAGTGGCGGACATGAGCAACAGCTTGAGGTCCTTAAAGCGAGGCAGCGCGTCTCGCAGCGCGATCAGCAGGAAGTCGCTGAACTTGTCCCGCTCGTGCACCTCGTCCACGAACACGTGCGTCACACCTTACCAACAATACGCGCAATTATTGTTTTAGCATTGGGACATTCTACTACTCTTTCTAAGACCGAATGGTGAAGAAAATATATAGCGCGAAAGTAAATATTAAAAGGTGTCGAGGTAGACCGAGACTAACTTTCGAAGACCATGTGAGCAAATTGGTCGAAGAGGGGAGGGTCAAGAGTACTCGGATACCTAGACGTGCATGTATGAAGAAAATAATGAATCTGAAAGAAGCGAAAGAGGTATGTAAGGATCGTGACACTTGGCGATATGTTCTCTCTGGCTACCCCGTCAGGGATTGTGCGTGAAGATAAGTAAGTAAGTACATTCTACTACTCGTAAAGAAGGTCACGTGGGCCGTGAGGCGAAATAAGTCGCTCTATACAGGGTTATTTTTCAAAGAGTAGCTAAATTTTAAACTTAAGTTGAAATATATAAGTAATGACATACCGTTAATGCAGTTTTTGAAAATGTGTTCTTGCACAGTAAAGTCAGTTAAAATAATGCATTACCGCGCATTTTGAATTTAAAATTTAATAAATACAGAATGTTTGAGATTAATTTTTAATGAATTTTTCTTCACCATTTGCCTATATTACTTATTCAGAAGCTTGTCTGGAAATGTGGCCGGTCATTGCTTGATAAATAACCCTGTATAATTAGTATAATAATAATTTGACTGACTCGTTGCTCTAGTGGTCGTAAACGCGATTGCTGATCATAAGGGCCCGTGTTCAAATCCCGGGACAGACCAGAATCAGATATGGGATTTTACTAAAAGAAATTCTTAATAGCAACTCAGAGTTAAGAAGTCGGTGGTGTTTTACTCCCTTTCCTCGGAAAGCACGTAAAGTCCTGCGCCTAAACTCTCTCTGATCGTGTCGGATTACCGTCCCATTGGACTAAGAGAGTGAAGGAATGGAGAGTACATCTGTGTTTGCGCACACACTGAGGCACTACAATCCTGTCCTGCGCGGATGGCTAGTCTTCGTTGAGACCGGCCACCGCGCCGTGACCGAAATCGGTCTGGAAGACAATATTAAAATAAATATTTTGAAACTAGTACAAGTGTTTATCCAAATTACAAAAATGAAGCTAGTGTTTCACCAAGTGAAAACATTCGCAAGAATAAATTATACTTTTTTTTATTATTGCGCACTGGGGCTTCCGCTGCACATTTCCTTGCCCTAAAAACCTCTCAGAACGAGGGATTTTTAGTCTATTAAATCTGATGTAATGTTGACATAGTGAAGACTTCTTGGAGCATCGAAATGTTTTTCATTTAAATGTTTTTAGTTGTTTGAAGTTGGCATTTACTTTTTATCAAAATTATTTAAAAAAAAAACGATAATTTTGAGTGGACTAAGGAATATTAATCATCAAACTCGGTTCACAATACACAAAGAGATCACATCACATACATACAAAAAAACATGTGTGCTGTTCACATGTGGTAGATTTGAAACCTTCAAATTAAATGAAATATAAAATAAAAATATTTCACAGCAAATGATTTATTTAATATCATTTTCAACCACTAGTGCGGCATAAAATATAAGATAAAAGGTTAATTTTATAGCAAATAAATGTGCAATCCTTATTTTTAGACTTCATTTTAGTGTAATAAATCAAAAGAATATTTCATTTCAAGTAAAATAGCTTTGTAATAGCGCCATCTACTTTACTCTGTAGGTAAAGTCATTTTATCGAACAAAAATTAACTGAATCTCAAGATGGTACGTAAAATAGACGCTAAATGACCTGAAGTTATGAACTCGTGGATTTGTATATAAGATAATTTTATTTATTACTGTTAATTTTATTTATTTAATAAATTTGTTAATTTGTTTAACAAAATAAAAGAATAAAAAAACAGAGGTCGAATGACGGATTCCAACCCACAACCTTTTGAGTTTGCGGTGTACACTATATTCTATTTCATTCTCTCTCTGGCTAAATATAGATGTATATATTGGTCTCATTATAGTGTCGCTTTTTCGTTTCATCGAGTGTCAAATCCCAAACATTCTAAAGATGTTTTGACTTCAAAAAATTCACGAGAACGAAAGAAACTTTTACCTGTAAGTGAGGTGTCTCCAGCCATCAGTGTCCGAAGCAGCACTCCATTAGTGCAGTATGTGAGCACGGTGCGTGGACTAACTCGTGACTCCAGCCGAATCTGGTACCCGATCGACTGGCCTATCTTCTCCATTCGCTCATATGCTACCTAGAAACAGGTTATATTTTTTGTTTTAATCTAAATAATATACTTTATCGTACCGTATATATGTATGGGTAGTGTATCGCCGATACAGGGACGCACCAAAGAAGAAAGTTCCCCAAATAGTGTGAAGTCTTATTTCGGTATCTATATTTTATAGGTTAAGGTATACAACATCTAACGCAATTAACGCACACCCTCAGACACCCCACTTGGTATATTATTTTATAATCATAATAGATCCACTGACTTTTTAGTTAAACGTGTTTATGCATTGATTATTTATTGAATTAGTTATACTAATTCCGGAAGAATGTTGTGGTCATCGTACAAAACCACGAACGCTAGGTATAGGTCTTGCTAGCCTAGTAGGTATTCGCTCGCGTTCGATACGAGTTAACGCCGCCGCCGCTTGACACAACTGGAGGTAGGTATTAGTGCCGAAAAAAGCCGACAATACATGATTGGTTACGTTAAAGAAATACCTAACTATGAACATTAACAGATGTCAGAACTCTTTACCTGGTAGAGCCATGCTGCAGCTATATTAGTAGTATAGTTGTAGCACGAATGGGTCGGCTCGACCGGGGAAGGACCACGCTCTCACAGAATACCAGCGTAAAATAGCAGCTTCATGCTGGTGTGTTTCGTATGGTGAGTGTAGAGAACCGGAGACCCTGTTTACTGGAAAAGAGGCGTTCCATCTTAGTCCTCACGGGTGACAACGCATCTGCATTTTGATTCGCCAACGAGGATAGATGTAGATGTCTATGGGCCACAGCAACCACTTACCATCAAGTGGACTGTGTGCTCGTTTGTCACCCTATCCTATAAAAAAAAACTCCGTGCATTGAGTTGTTTATTTAAGTCTAGTAAACATTTGATTGGATCTTTCCATCACACTTTTCAGGCTTTGGACTTTTGACTCTGAATAATTTTGTTTATTGATTATGATAAAATGTCAATAGGCAACATTCGTTACAAAATGTTATGAATTTGCATAAAATTTTAATTGTAATTGTAAATAATAATGAACTGCTATAAATAAGAGGCAATACGACAATATAATTCAAAGACGGCATGTTTCAAAGATGTGAATCAAAATTACAATAATTTTAAGAATCAAATATTTAACTTACTGATAGCCTAAACTCTCATGCAACGTTGTGTTTTAATACACTTTCAAAATGTCCACCACGGCTCCGTGGCGCAGTGGCTTAGCAAACGAGTTGCAGCGCTAAGGGCCGCGGGTTCGAATCCCGCACGGAACAAGTATTTATATGGCCTACAAATAATTGTTCCGGGTCTGGATGTTTGTCCTTGTGCAATTTATATTTGTAAACTGCCACCACAATATAAGAGAAAATCCTAGTGTTGAGGTTACGTTTTAAAAAAGAAAGAAAAAGAGAAAATAATTTAGAAAGCATTTCAGTGTCATTTTTCACTATTCTAAAAGCGTTCACTATCCTATTTTTGGGTCCTAGGCACTTGTCTCACTAAAATAAACTTATGATTTAATACTTCCCCATAGAAAAAAGTCAAGGGGCGTCAAATCAGCTGATCTGGGAGGTCAATGGCCTGGCCGCCGCGACCTTTATAAGGCACTCCAAACTCTGTATTTGTAAAGACTTTAATGTAATTGAAATAAGGTTCAATTTTCTTTATTTTTATTGAATAACGGAATTTGTATTAATACAAATAAAACTGCACTTTTAATCCTTTTTTTCTTGAGTTACGGTCCATTTCAGTTTGTTTTGACCATACAGGTTTAGTGTGACTGTAAATTAGGTAGTTTCAATTATTTTTGGGATAAAAATTACCTATATTAAAAATGGTAGAAATCGATTCAGTAAATGATTCTGAACAAACTACTTTCAGGATGTGCGTTAATTATGTTACGTGTTGTATATCGCTATGAGCTAACATTCTTAATTTTTAAGTCCTTGAAGCCTGAAATAAAGGTAATGTATTTGTATTGTATAACAAGTTTAACACTAACCCTCTCTGCAACGGAGACAGCAGATATCCTCCTGGGCTGTGTACAGTAGATGCGTGCTGGTTGCTTGTGCTCTTGACACCAATCTAGCACGAGTTGCGGAAGCTGAGTCGTCTTACCGCATCCGGTGGCACCCGCCACTATGATCACCTACGAATCAAAAATCAAATTTAGAACTGATGAATAAAATTTTAAATTACAAAAACTTTTGAAAAAGGAAATACTGGGTCTATCGAATTCTTTTAGCCGACTTCAATCAATTTTTTTTATAGGATAAGGGTGACAAACGAACACACAGTTCACCTGATGGTAAATCGTTGCTGCGGCCCATAGACATCTACATCTATCCTCTGTTACAAATCAAAATGTAGATGCGTTGTCACCCGTGAGGACTAAGATGGAATGCCTCATTTTCAGTAAAAAGGGCCTCCGGCCGCCTGCACTCACCAAGCGAAACGCAGAGGTAAACCTCTACTTCACGCTGGTTTTCTGTGAGGTCGTGGTACTACCCCGGTACGAGCCGGCCCATCCGTGCGACAGCAAAAGCTGCCGCGTGGCTCTACCACTGTTAAAATGAGGAGGATCTTTTCTTTAGTCTTTACATTTGCTTCCATAGTGGGAGGCAATTCAAAAATCTGATGATAATAAAATCGGGGGATACAGTTTGGTGTTGCAGCTACTAGATATGTAGCTATCATCTTCATATTCAAAATTTAATTACAACACTCGACAGCTAAAGGATCAAAGAATTCTTTACGTTGAGTGACGACTGTGAAGAGACGGGCGCGGTGGTGGCGGGAGCGCCGCCATTCTGAGGTATTTTCGCTGCGTCACATGTTTCAGACTAAAAACCGAACATTAGCAGAATTATTCACCAGGGGAATTGCAGATGCGTTGCCGGCCTTTTAAAAAGGAGTAGGCTCTTTTCTTGAATGTCCACAAGTCCTATCGGTCCGGAAAAATCGCTGGTGGTAAACTATTCCACAAGGAAGTTGTGCGAGGAAGAAAACATCTTCTAAATCGCACAGTGGTGGACCGCCAATCATCCAGATGGTGTGGATGATATCGGGAATTCTGTCGCGATGTGCGTTCGTGAAATTTGGCGGCTGGGATCAATCCGAACAATTCCTCAGAGCACTCCCCGTGGTAAATGCGAAAGAAAATGCAAAGGGATGCAACATCTCTTCGCGGCGCCAATTAATCGAGCCGATTGGAAAGGACTCGGTCGTCGACGATTCGAGCCACTCTGCGCTGGATGCGGTCAAATGGAAGGCGCTGGCACTGGGAAGCCCCAGCCCCGAGATGGGAACAGTATTCCATGTGAGGCCGAACCTGCGCCTTGTAAAGTTGCAGGCGTTGTGCATGAAATAATGTCCCGCTCTGCTTAGCACGCCAAGCTTTTTAGAGGCCAATTTGGCCTTCTTTTCCAAGTGACCACGAAACTGCACGTCTCTCAATATGTCGACGCCGAGGATTCCGATACTGGCTGAGGCAACAAGGGGAGTGCTTTGAAACTGAGGAGATACGACAAACGGGTTCTTTTTAGCGGTAAACGCGCAGCCTTGTGGAACACCAGCGTTAATAGGCTTGTAGTCGGAGCATGAACCGTCTACAACGACCTTGATGCTCCGATCTGCAAGAAAGCTGGTGATCCAATTGCACAATTGCACAATTTCTCGGGAAGCCCATAAAAAGGGGAATATATATATATAATATAATATAAGATACATAAAGATACGTAGTATACAGATGAAACTAATGAACAGAGATACTATAAATACTTCACTGCTGACCGTATTTGGAAGCTAAATAGTTCAGTGAGCCATGGACAAGGCTATGCTCTATGTTTCTCTGCGTAGTAAAATATGTAACGAATAAATCCGTAGAACGACAACTGATAAAAAGAAAGGTTCTAAAGTGAAACTCGTTAGGTAATGATAGCATGCAGGTGTCATGACCATGTTTTGTGGTAATCTTTGGAAGAGCTTTTGTTCAGCAGTGGAGTTGTAAGAGGCTCGCGGATTACTGTGTCCTTCCTGTCTTCGGACCTCAGATAATTACACAGAGTACTGACAGATTACATAGCAACTTGTCTACCTCTTCTTCGAGCTCCGGGATTTTCTTTTCAGTCCTCAGGATCGTTACAAAATTAATGGTGACGGAAGAAGAGAGAATGAGCAAATTTGTATTCTTTTATTAGTTTTATTACTTACGGTGGTTACATGTGGGAGAACATTTGTCTATTAGGTGTCTCTCTATCAATTTTTCAATATATTTTTTTTTAATGTGAAATTAATTTTAGGGTAATTTTAATTTATAGCTTAGACTTTGTATGCTTAACAAAAAATAACTAATTATTTTCCTTAATACACAATTTTTTCACATTTTATCTTAATTAAAAAAAAATGTCGTTTTATTAATTAAATACTTGCCTGATTATGTGTGATTGCATTGATAAGCTCTTGTCTTTGTTCATATACAGGTAGTTTTTCTCTAAACTTTAAGAGATCTGGATTATAAGTTGTATTAGGTACCTAAAAATAATAATTAATTAAAGAAAATTATGACATTAATTCATTGCAATACATTTATAAATTAGAGCCATGGTATCACAGCATGCAAACAACCCCGAGTTTGATCCTCGTCAACACCAATAAAACTGCAATCTCATTGATGATTTAATTCTCAGTGTATTGGCAGTGTAAGAATATCCACTATCCCATATTGTTCCGTGGGTGCAGTATGAGTTGTAACAAACCAGGAGATCGCCAGCAGCATCTTCTAAATAACAATGCAAAAAAAATGCAGGTAGTCAACCCGACAGCCAATCATGGCAACTATGACAAATATCCCCCCTATGAGACAATCTATGTGGGAGGCCTTATGTTCAGCAGTGGACTTTAATAGGCTGTAATGTATGGATGTTTAGAAGATAATCTACCAGGAGCACATGAGGCAATGAGAGGTGAAATTATTAAATCAACAGTAACATTACAACTATAGCAAATATCCCTCCTATTAGGCAATCTATGGGGAGGCCTATGTTCAGCAGTGGACTTTTAGTCTGTAATGGTAACAGTAATTGGAATTGGTGAATAAGTCCATTAACCCTTTTGCTGTCCCTAGCATTATATATAGGTCATTACTATTGTCTTACTATTGTGTCTGGAAGCCGGACAGTGAAAGTGTTAACATACAAAAGGCCAAAGCAATAGACTCTACCCTACTCTTTAAATCCCTCTCAGTAATATACAATACCAGCGCCCATCAGTGAAACATATGCAGGCTGTAACTTTAACTTTTTCACATATATATTAAAATAAGGGATTTAATATTACTTTTTGCAACTAAACAACTGTTATGATTATAATAATTTTATACTGTTTGTTATTTAAAATTAAATTTTTCAAGTATAAAATCATCTTATTTTTGAGATTATGAAGAACATTTCTAACTCTCATTAGGTTCAATTTTAAACTTTTACATTGAAATATTATTGATATGTATAAAGCAATATTAGGAGATTGTAGTGTATATCTAATTTATAAAAATTAATGTTGGTTTGTTCGTATTTCACTTGCTGCCATACCGTTTATCTGATTACGGTAAAACTTTGTCAAAATATTGCTTGCAATTGCGCGAAGATTATAGGCATAGTACAAGTAACTAATAACAGTTGGTGGCGGGCGTATCGTACCGACAAATTTATTTGAAAGTATGATATCATTCAACTTCTATGAAGGTATTGTCATTCCTAATCAAACAATGTAACTCTTCCAAATTGAAAGCTATATTTCTGCAATTATTTCTTCTGCGCCTGCAACGCGCCGGATACCAGCTAGTAAATAATAAACTTAAATGCTTTGATAAGTTAAATTAAAATTAAAAGAAATGCCGTATGAACTATGAGTTTGGTTCAAGGGTTTAAGATTTAAACATTAACATATTTTAAAACTCACTTGTGCAACTCCATTGTTCAACTGTCCTAGTGACTTATGAGCCAATTGAGGACTCCTTTCTTTTTCTGGACAACAACTCAAATCATCCTTTTCTTTACTTGTTATTGGAAATGCATTAATTAACTCTGATATGCTGCACCTCATATTGGAGTCAAGTATGAGCTTAGCGTCATTTTGAATAATAGTTGAGCCCACTCTTTTATATATTGTTAAATAACGGTTGACTCCTGAACATAAAAAAATTATATAAGTTCTCACATATTAAAATGTTTGTAGGTGAATCGAATTCAAAGTAAAGTTGATGGAGAACCCATCTCTCAGTTCTCATACTTAACCCATCATTCCCTTCATACATGCTCTTCGGTTTAGGGTACTCTTGACCTGGCCTTTTTTCAAGACGTCCCTGATTTGGTCTAGAAACGTCCCCCTAGGTCTACCCCTTCCTACACTTTCATTCACACTCACCTTATACATCTTTTTCGTCAGTCGTTCTTCATTCATTCTCCCGACAAGGCCAAACCATCTCAGCATACCTTTCTCAATTTTTGTCACTACATCTTCTTTCAGACCACAATGTTTCCTTATCTCACTATTTCGTATCCTGTCACACAGTTTAACTCAAATCATACTTCTTAATGCTCTCATCTCAACGGCATTTATTCTGCTTTCATGTTTCTTCTGCCATACCCAATTTTCACTTCCGTACATGAGTGTCGGAACCAACACCCCCTCATGCACAGCCAAACGAGCCTTGTTAGACACCTTCCGACTGCTCATAAAGGAGTGCAAAGCTCCATTCACTGTTCAATGTTTCCTGCATTCACTCTTCTTTCGATATCACTCTCACACATTCCATCTCTCGTAATCTTTGAATCCAGATACACAAACTCCTTCACCTGTTTAATTTGTTCACCTCCAATCACGATATTGCAGTCTGTCACTACCTCATCTCTTTCAAACACCATCACTTTAGTCTTCTTTACATTTATCTTCATTCCCTTTTTAACAAAAGCTCCACTCATAGCAGTTACCATCTCCTGCAACTCCTCGGCCGAAGACGCAAGTAGTACTTGGTCATCAGCATAGAGTAAACATTCGACGAGTAACTCATTCATTCTCAACCCACTTTCATTCTCTTTTAAATCTGTCAAGCAGTTGTCCATGAAGAGATTAAACAGACATGGTGACGCTACACATCCTTGTCTAACACCTTTTTCGATATTAAACCATTCAGTGTATGCCCCGTTTATCCTTACACAAGCACTAGAATCCCTATAAAGAGATTGCAATGCTCGTATGAGGATACTGCTCACACCGTTCACGAACAGTGCTGACCACAATTCATTCCTCACCACTCTATCATAGGCCTTTTCTAGATCCATTAACGCGCAATAGACCTTCTTGTTTTTAGCCAAACACTTTTCGGCTATGCACTGCAAGGAAAAGACCTGATCCGTACATCCCATTCCCTTTCTAAATCCCACTTGTGCATACCATACTTTTTCGTCTGTTTTATTCACAACCCTTTCAATCAACACTTTCGGATACAATTTACTGACGACGCTGAGAAGACTTATACCGCGGTAATTTATACAGTCCTGCCGTGACCCTTTTCCCTTATACAATGGCACGATTACGGCTTTGCACCAGTCTCCCGGTACTTGCCCATTCCACAAATGAAAAGGCATCTCGACGGTAATCCTGTCATACCCTGCAGCCTTACCTAATCTCATACTTTTCAACGCTTTCACTATTTCACCCATGCTTATCTCACTTTCATCAACATTTATATTAGTTTCCATGGAAGGTGCCGGATGATGTACCTGCACTTCCTCTCTTTCCATCTCTTTAACACACATTCTTCTCCTTTTATAATTAATTTAAATTAACAAACATCATTTGAAAACAAGCCAATAAACCATTAAAGCCAAATGGCTTTAATGATTTATTCAATTGTTTGAGGTCAATGATCACTTGGCTTTAACTGAAATCCAGCAAATAATGAAAATCAGTTATGGAATGGATGAAAATAACCAGCAGTTCTGCAAAATTCCTGCACAGTGGGTTCCAAAGCTTACATTTTGAATAACTGGTATGTTATCAGAGGACTCCGTGGCGCAGATGCTTATCAATGAGTTGCAGCGCTAAGAGCCGTGGGTTCGAATCCCGCACAGAACAAGTAGTATTAGTATGGCCTACAAATAATTGTTCTGGATCTGGATGTTTGTCCTTGTGAAATCTATGTATGTAAACTGCCCCCACGATACAGGAGAAAATCCTAGTGCAGAGGTAACGTTTTTTAAAGAATTTAAATAAGAAATTATTATTAAAAAAAAATCCTCAGACAAGCGTAATCTCATAGTGCAAGCTATGATTGTGGTGTATTCATTTATGGTGCATAAGCTGATGTATCAGCCAGAATGTTTTATAGAGACACAGGTTGATATTCACCATTTATTAATGAAACATGTAAAGTTAAAAGGAGAAAGAGAATTATTGGTGCAAAATTCTGTATTCGCAGAACCATTGTCAGATGCTGCAAAATTTTTGGTTATGAAATACCACTAATTCTTTTTTTTCAACCGTGTGTCGTTAAGATTTGGGTATGATGGGGCTAACATCAGGATAAAAGCTCCTAAATAAATAAATATAAAATACAAAATAAAGAATGGTGTTACTGCTTAACTGTACTAAAATTTGTAAAATGATGTAATTCCTGTAAATAATATAAACATTATTTCATCCTAATCAAAATGAAAATTCACTACATTAAAATACTCTAAGGAAGTAGTAATGACTGCAGTATCATTTATTGTATTATAAGCAGTGGTGTAGCTACCGCAGGGCTAGGCTGGGCAGTGGGCCGAAGCCCCCAAGCTCAAAGGGCCCTTTATTTTTTACTAGCTTCCGCCTGCATCGTCGTTCACCTGGTATAGACCAACAGAGAAAATTATCCCATGGGATCTTTTTATCGGGATAAAGGGCAACCTGGGTAAAACATATATCCTATGTCTTACCCAGGTCAAACTCTATCTCTGTGCAAAATTTCATCCAAATCCAGCTTTTGTGAAAGCGTAACAAACAAACTTTCACATTTAAACATTATTAGGATTATATATTATATAAAGATAATAATTAAATATTATCTGCTGCATTACACATAACACTTAGTAGTAAGTAGCTTTGCTTTATGTCTTGCAGTGGGTGTTAAGGAACTTAAGATGAAGTGGTTTTGCACCTTTAAAGTTTTAGTTTAGTTTAATTAGGGCGCCAATCTCATTTTTGCCCTTGGGCCCTTAGTTACATAGCTACTCCACATGAGTAAATAAATGGAACAGAGATAAAGCTTCATAAAACCGCATAAGACGGTTGCACTACAAGCATGTGGGGCATGTGTGTGTGACTACTGGCCGCTTGTCGCGTACGCGGCGAGACTGGAAAAAACTGGTTACGCTGGCACAGCCAGTGAACTACAATCTCAGGGTCAGTGCGACACACAGTTTGTTTTATTAGTTGCAAGTTTGAATATTTTAATGTAAAAATGTGGTATTATTAATAATGGCTGTTTATTTTACTGTGTATGAATATTACTAGAAAAAATAAAAATATATCATACTTTAACTAACCCAAGGAGTATTAGGTAAATAAATATTTAATTATTACTTTTTCAAATAAGTACCTTTATTTTATTGTATGATCCTTTTTTTAGTACAAAGAGGGTACTACATGGTGTGTTTTTACCATTTTATTGTTATTACAAGCTTTTACTAAACATTTGTAGGTATGTAGGTGGGTTGGTATGTAGTAGGTATGCGGGTTAAGTTCAAATATTTCAAGTAAGATTTTTTTTTAATTTTGATTATATGGCCTTTGGTATTGTGGTGGTATGTCCGGTCTTTGGTCTGTCACACCTTGTCTTGAGGCTTTTCGGTGGAAAAGGAGTTAGCAGTTATTAGGTGAAAATGTGGATAAAAACAAAGCAACTAAATACATGAATTGTGGGAACCACTTCCCGATGTCTGATTGAGTTGAAATTTTGTATAACGTAACTTCGGTGACAATGCAATAATATGATAGATATTGTTTTGATTAATTTGTAGGCACCTATTGTGACAACCCTACCTAAATAGGTAACAATTTTGCATGTTCTTAGGAGGCTTTGTCTATGTTCCGTTTATTTACTCATGTGGCTACTCCACTGATTGTAAGTCCCGACACCTCGTCTATGGTAGGACATATTTCTTAAATGCATTTGTATGTAATAGTTTAATTTAGTATGAATTGTAGCAATTTTACCTTTCCCGCGCGATTTGGATTTAAGTCCTAGCTTAGCCACAGTCTCGTGAATGAAACCACGTTCTTGAGCCGACAGGAATGTGGGAAATTTAAGTTCTGTCTCATTTTCATCGCTAAGAAATTTATCCAGCTGTATTTTCAATGCTATACTCACTGATTCCGCTATCGGGAAATGTTTATTTCCCATATTTCTTTTACCCCTCTTTGAGCTCATATTTATTAATGTTCTTATTATAACTTACGGAAATGCTTATCATACCACAGTAACTATGAATAAAATAAAAATTCCTTTAATATTTATAACTTCCTAAATTCTGTAGAAAAGTGACAAACAAAGAGTCCAACATATATTACTTTTGTCTATGAGGCCAACACAGACTAAGACTAGCTAGTAGATGAATCCAAAGAGTTTAATAACTTTTCTTTTTATAACTGGCTTTACGGCTCTGGATTCTAGCACTTCTGAGCCTGAAGTTACAATGTATAATTATCCTTCATAGTACACTGCTTAACAATATGTTAATGGGCCACATTTTGCAGCCCTTGGGGGATTTTGACGGCAACTTGAGCCAGCAGACAGCTGACAGTTGGCAATGGTGTCTCAAGGCGCATAAGCAGACAGACATCTTATCTTGAGAATCCCATCACCATCAGAGCACTTGTTTCACTTTCACCGTTTCCACTTATACAAAAAATCGTAGTAATTATATTTTGTGCCTTATCCTAATACACCATGCAAATGATGACGATTTGACGATATTTATCGCGCTATACATTTATATCGATACTGTTATATAATGTCGATTTTTTTTCACTTGCCCATCCCTAGTGAAATGTTTTATTAATGTTAATGTTTTATGAACTCCCGATGTCGCGCTGTGAGCCAACTTCGCGTCCGTATATTCCCCTGGTAATCCTAACAGTCAGAGTCACAACAGTCAGAGTAGCAGCCAATCTTTTATATTTACCTAGCGGTTCTTGTATGCAAGCACATGACCAATGTCGCGTGAGTCTTTCCAGGCCCCCTGGACGTCTGGGATGAGTATACCACATTTGACCCTTTGTGGTAACGCCAACTGCTTCTTGATGACCAGCGAGGTGTTGGATTTGAGGTCGAGGGTAGCGATATCCCCCTTTAACCAATCTAAAGCCTTTTCATCGTCGCACCACAGCTTTAGGAAACCCTCCGTTATGGAGGCTCCGTGTAGCCCGGTTTGCCTCTGAAGACTGGGCCCGACGCCTCAGGGTCTTGGTTACTCCAAGCCTCACTGATCACCTTCCTCTGGATAGATACGAGAATGTCGTCACCTACTTCTTTTGTGATATGACCTGTACGTGCACACGTTAGGGCCACACACAACTCAGCTTTGACTGCTTTGACCTTTTTATGGTCACCTCTCGGCGAGGTTGTCTCGTCCAGCCTCCTTTTGGCTGGTATTTCTTTTTTACCAGGACGATTGGCCGCTCTCTGTTTCCTGGCGGATTTCTTGAAACCGGTTTCAGCAGCCACACCTTCCACTTGAGCAGGATTTTAATCCTTTCCAGTTTCAGTGCGACTACTGGGTCCAGGTCTAAGCACCTCAGGAGTAGCAGCTTGCACAGCCTCCTTATTATTTATTTTGGCAGCAGCCAGCTCTGTCATTTCTTTACGGGCTTTCTCTCTCTGCTTCCTGTTCTTTTTCTTTACCTAACTTCCGCTCCCTGGCTGGATAGACCCACTTGATGGTCCATCGGGTCGCTTAGTCACCTTTTTGGGTACCTTGCCTTTCCCTTTACGGCTCACCAATGGCCAGGCTGCTGAAAAGAGGTTTTTCGTTCTAAAGGGATCCTTAGGTGTATTTCTACTCGCGGTCCCTTGTTCTTTATCTACATCCAGCTCTGAGGAACTGGTTTTAGGAGCCTCCAGCGCGAAAATTTTCTTGAAGGAGCCATCTTCGCTGGATGACGTGCTCTGTGGAGTCGCCATTTTACTGGCAGTTTCTCCTTGAATGTTGGTGCCTCTGGTAGTCACCTCTGACATCTCCTTCTTTTATTTTGGGCCTTAAGTTGTCCATTAATAATTTAGTTTGAAGATTAGTCCCCCCAGCTTACAAACCTCCATGGAGCCCGCACCTTTGGGAACGCCCTACTTTAAAACAAAAGAATTTTTTATTTATATATATATATTAGGCGTTAGGATTACCGGGGGAATATAGGGACGCGAAGTCCGCTCACAGCGTGACATCGGGAGCTCGATCCAGTTGGGATACAGGGCTGAAAAGGTCCGCTGCCTGAATGACTGTCAGCATAGTCTTTAACACCACCTTATCCTTTTCAGAAAACTAGGCAACCACCACGTCCCACACCTGTGACCCTCTGACGGTGCGCTTGGCCATTTTCCTACCTGTGGCTAGCAGATATTGCCAACGTTTAGCTTGAAATGCGGATCAAAGAGGGCGGTGGCTCAACCCTCCACGGCTCCTTCATCCCCGCGTACGGTGATCCACTGCGCAGGTCTTAGCGCAGGTGGGTGTGTTAGTCGACCGGATATACTTGTTCTCTCCGGCGGAACCTCTCCTCTTTTCTCATCCGGGCTTACGACCGGCAAAGGCAGTAACACTTGATACTGAAAATCTATAAAAACGAAGATTCCGAATCAAATGAAGACATGGCTTAAATTACAAGCATCCTAGTCAAAAATCTTAATTAAAAAAATACACTAGAGATGGACAAGTGAATTACATATCGTGAAATATTATGTAAAGCGTGATAAATATCGATAAATCGTAATCATTTGCATGATGTATTAGGATAAGGCACAAAATTTATTTACTGACGGTTGGATGACGAAAAAAAGACAACCAGACGTTAATGCTTTTATTCACTCATTAATACAACATTTTAAAATATATCGAAATTCATACGAATTCGATACTTTAAAATAAATATCAACATATCGCGATTACAAATATCGATGATATATTTCGACTGTCACACAATAAACGTAAAGTAAAGTAAAGTAGCAGCCTATTTACGTCCCACTGCTAGGCACAGGCCTCCTCTCATTCCTGAGAGGGTTTTGTCACACAATAAGATGTCCAGAAAGCCAGAAACTACTAGTTAGTCTGTGACGAGTGACGTCACTAACTTGCTACATATCTTTTTATCTCTAGACGTCACCATCACCATGTGTAAGCATCATAGTAGTCTGTGCTCTGTGCCATCACATTGTTCTATTCAAAATGCACATGTGAAATGTGAATTTTAGTATTTACATTTTCATAACGCATAAACTGTGCTTATCTAACATCAAAAGGATGTCTAAAAAGATCAAACATTTGGTGGTAGACACCACGGCTTTTATAAAAGCAGAAAACCTATTGAATTTATCAGAAAATGTATATACTGTACAAGAAGTCATAGATGAAATTACAAATGATAGACAGCGTCGAAAACTTATCGTTCTTCCTTACGATTTAAAAGTTAAAGATGTATTTACTGAAAATATTAAATTTATCACGGATTTCTCAAAGAAGACGGGAGATTATACAAGTTTGTCAGCCACCGATATTAAAGTGTTAGCTCTGACTTACCAAATTGAGAAAGAAAAAGTTGGTACAGAACATCTCAAATCTGAGCCTACTATGCAGAAGACTATCAAAGTAAGTGGTTTATCGGGTTTTAGCCTCCACCCTGAAAACAAAGGAAATATTGAAACAGATATAGAAAAGGTTAAAACCACAGATAATTGTAATGAAATTAACCAACAAGAACCAAATGCAGATTCCAAGCATGAAAACGAAGATGGTCACATAGAAAATTCACTGTGTAATGATAATATTGCTGAAAATATAGCTGAACAAATAAAAAGTCTAGACTTAAGAGATGACAGTGAAGTTAATAATTTCATGGTAAAAGTTTCGGATGATGATGATGTCGAAACAGAAAGCGAAGAAGAGTCTGGTAGTGATGAAGGAGAATGGATAACACCAACAAATTTAGCACAGAAAAAAAAAGATATGGAAATAGGCGAGTTTGAAGAGAAGAGTGTGGAAGTGGCTTGCATGACTTCCGATTTTGCTATGCAGAATGTCCTTAAACAAATAGGCTTAAATGTAACAGCTATTGATGGCAGAATTATCAGGCAGCTCCGCACATTCATTTTTCGCTGCACAACTTGTTTCAAAACTACCAGTGTGATGACTAAATTATTTTGCTCCAAATGTGGCCATGCAACATTAAAAAAAGTTGCAGTTAGTATTGACGATGATGGCAATCAACACATTCATATTAATGGCCGTAAACCACTCACTGCTAGGGGAAAACGATTCAGTTTGCCAACACCTAGAGGTGGGCAACACTTCCAGTATCCTATTCTTACAGAAGATCAGCATATACATAAGAGGTTCGCAACAAAAATGGCGCGTAAGAAAACTAATGCCTTAGATCCTGATTACATTGCAGGATTTTCACCTTTTGCTGTGAAAGATGTTAACTCAAAATCTGCGGTTTTAGGCATAAGAGCAGATAAACAAGATATTAAATATTGGATGAAAAATTATTCAAAGGGAAAGAAAAAATAATGTAATAAAACTACTTTGTAACATAGAAATATACTTATTATATTCATAAAATATCTTGATTTAATTTTTAGTAACAACATCGATGCATGCATTGAATAAGGTATAAGTAAAATTTAATTTTTTGACAATTTTTCTTCAAAAAACTTGAAAACCGAATTGATACATTTGCATGTTGTCATCTCATGTCGTGGGTGTCCTGTAAAAGTATATCTTTGTTAAAAGAACATAGACATAATATCAAGAAAGATTATACTAATCTAGTTACCAGAATATTTAGAAAAAGGCTAATTACACATCAACATATACTTAGATTTTGGTGATGCAATATTATGCACTTAAATTTTGTTGTTAGATGGAGTAACCAAGAGATGCAGGAAGTTGGTTGATGGAGGTGGCTCAGGACTGTGCTTTGTGGCAATCCACATATTGTAGTGGCCTATGTTCAGCAGTGAACCGGTAAAATGATAATGTTAAAGTATTGCTTAATGTTTAAATGTCGATTTTGTGCCCATGGGATGAAAATTTGCTGAATCTCCATACAATACACCTATTTCTCATAAAAAAATAATTATTATTAGCAAAGCACAGTTTTAACTTTCCCATTTTATTTAAAAAAAATCAATGTATTTTTCAAAATTTTGAATAATTGAATGCTACATGAATAGAATTTTATTAATATAAATCAAATTTACTACCTCTCAAAAATAATTCAATTACAAGGACAAACTTAAAAAATGTAATTGATAACAAACTTACACTGATATGATTACTGTCACTTAACTGAAGAAACCAACAGTAAATTTTATCTATGACTTTTAATACTGGTGCAGCTTGTTAAAGTCTGATAACAGATGGGAAGAAAAATTTTCAGGTGGCAACCTCATATTGGTAAGCGAAGTGCAAGATGGCCCCCACTAGATTGAGTTTTTTTTTTTATAGAATAAGGGTGACAAGTGAGCACACAGTTCACCTAATGGTAAGTGGATGCTATGGTTCATAGACATCTACATTTATCCTCAATTAAGAATCAAAATGCATATGCGTTGTCACCCCTGAGGACTGAGGTGGAATACCTTGTTTCCAGTAAAAAGCGTCTCCAGTTCTCTACACTTACGAAACACAGCATCATTGAGAGTATTCTGTGGGAGTGTGGTTCTACTCCGGTCGAGCTGACCCATTCGTGCTACAACCACAATATAGCTGCAGTGTGGCTCTACCATGTAGAACAACCTGGTAAGAGATACAGGAAACCAATGGTTTCAGATGACTCAGGACTGTGCTATATGGCATTCCTTGAGAGAGACTTATGTTTAGCAGTGGATTTGTGAAGGGCTGTAATGATGATGATGCTGATGATAGATTAATACTTAAATGATTTAAGCGCAAGCTGCTAATTATCTATAGTAATTTTTATTATAATTTTATGTGCTAGCTTGTTACATGTAATGTACCAATACGAACTTCTCATATTTGACAAGAAGTCCATAGTTATCTACTAAATAATGGCCTACAGGTTTTTTAAGCTGAATCACGCCAAATAATTTTGAAAAGCAAGCAAATGCTTAGTTGGTTGGTGGTTTGTATTAATTGTTTGCCTTTTGCATACCCATATATTTGTTTGAGAGTAACCTAGTATCATTGCATAATGGTAAAGTGTAGCTGTTGAGGCTTCATTACCTCATGACCTCAAAATTGATCCAAAAACCCTGCAGAAATAACATTTAATTACTAAAACTTGTAAATCACTATAAATATTTACCTTCCTAAATACATATAATAGATATTTCTAAGATAGATTAATTAGAACATAAATTTATTAACCTGCTGATACTCGTGTTATGTCAAATTCGGGTGTTAGCATTGGCACATCAAGTGGTGAAGAACTTGAAATCCAATTTTTTGATACCTATAAAAATATAAAATTATTCATTTTATATGTTCAGTAATACAAGTTTTAAACATTAGTTATTTATGTTTATTACTAATACCTTTTTTAAATAATCTGTGACCATGAACATGGAATATCCATGTACGGAATCTGTCAGAGCGATTGCCTTCACTCGTTGTTCAAATTCATCTTTGACCTGATCAGCCAATGTCACTGTCACAATTCCTCCGTAGCTATGTGCAACAATCAGAATGCTTGAAGCTTTACAATTTTTAACGTAAGTGTCCCATACATATCTTGCATGTTCTTCAGCTGTACCACTGTTTGGAATCTTTTTTTCATCACGATTATTGTCATTGGGGTTAAGAATCATGATGCCATAGTCATGTGCTTTAGCTTTTTTGATGTATGGAATTTGTGTTCCTGCATCCAAGCTTTCATTGATGATCAGTCTGTAAATTAACAATACAAAAATACTTAAACATAAATTGTACTCTCCAAATCTTGCCCTGTTTCATAATTGGTTCCACATTCTCACAGAATACCAGTGTCAAATAGCAGCTACATGTCGCTCTGTTTCATATGGTGAGTGTTGACAACTGGAAACCATTTTTACTGACAACGTATCTGCATTGTAATTCTTAATCGAGGATAGATGTGGACATCTTTGGGCCACTGCATCAATTTACCATCAGGTGGACTGTGTGCTTGTTTGCCACCCTTATTCTCAGGGTTGCAAACTATCAAGATAACAAGGTTCATTGGTAATTATCCAATATTATCAGGTTATTATCCAGTAATATAATGCGTGATAAAAGTATTTTAATAGTTATATATTCTATTTCAAAACAAAAAAATGCTCTTGTTTGATACAATCAACAATAACAAAATTTAAACAAATCAACTTTATTTTATTATTATTTGGATATACGCCATAGACTTTACCCACAATATCACACTATTTTAACCGATTCGTTGCGGCACCAATTTTCGACAACTTTTAGCTGTGGCGGCGGACAAATATTTCATGACACGCCTATTGTGCCATCCGCCATGTGTAAAAGTAATGTTCTTTTTTATGCTTTTTTTTCTTGTTTAGACCTAATTAAGTTTATTTGACATCAAACATAAGTTACAAGTGGAAGGATACTTGTTTTTAGTGGGTAACTACGTGTTTTTTTACGCGTTTTCTTTGAAATTGAGAGAAAGTGACTTTGTTTTGAAGAGATTACAAACGTTTTGTACTATTTTTTGTTGTTATAAAAAAATCATTTATATAAGTAGGTACAGCTAAATTACCCTGGACACCTTGGTTTTTATTAAATTAAATTTTCACCTAATAATAGCATTTGTAAATATCAAACAATGAAGAACCTTAATTTGAAAAAAAATAAGGTATATCATTCATTGATATTTACAAATGTTAAATATTATTTAATGTTATACAAATGTAAAAGTAAAGTCGATCTGAAAACGTCTAATTAGTAAGAATAGCAAAACAAGTGTTTTCAAAAGGAAAAAAACGGCGGCGGATTGACAAAACTATTTATTAGCGAACTTTTTTTATGCATGAACTGTTTCAAGCAAAAACAAACCTTATACCATATCACAAGAGCACGTGATACTTCGTAGGTCTATTCGGCCATATGATAGTAATAAGACGGCAGTTCAACAATTTTAAGCAAAATTAAACAATAAGACAAACGCATTGTTTTTTTTAACAGGAGACTTGTTTTCCAGAAATTTATTTACAACTTGAGTTTGTGAGCGATCGCAATGAGTGCTATTATTTGTTACTTATTAGACAATTTTTCCTTAACATGATTTAAAACCCACGAAGTAAAAATAGTACCATGTACACATTAAAAAAAGGTTGTCAATCCCTAAAAATTTCAAATTTTCAAAATATCCAGAAACGAAGCTGCATGCATGAACTACTCGCAAAATAATGAATATTTTGTTCTGGATAAATTTTCCAAAAAAGAAATTTGAGCGAGTTATAACGATTTTTAAAAAGACACGACCCGCGTGTCATACGCCACACACAAAAGTAATCGATGGCACGCCTGGCGTGTCACCCGCACTGAACCGGTTAGTAACAATAAACATTATTTTAAGATTTTATTATTATCATGATAATTATCTTCATAATTATACTATGCAACCCTGCTTATTCTATAAAATTAATTTAATTAAATAAAAAATTTAAAAACTGCTTACGATCTAGACCATTGACCAGCTCTTACGGCCCCTGAACCTTGAATCAAAATCATCAAGACATCTTTTTGATCATAATCTTTTGACACAAAAATAAAGGTGCCATTGTCTTGTGTTGAATCTTTGGGAACTGGCAAGCGGATCAGTTTCTCCTTCAACTCCAGCATTTGATACACATACTCAGTAATAACAGCACCTAGCTTTTCATAATGAGCCTGACATTCTTCAGGTTCGGTGCTTACGTCATACCTAAAAGGCTCTTCGGTAGGTATCATAAAATTTCCAAGTTTCCGCAACTGCCCATCTTTAACATAAAACAAAGAACTTAATTAGCCTAAAAAAAGTTATAATATTTTTCAATAAACAACCTAAAGATTCCTGTCTGAGATATAGACCTACAAATTCAACATAGTATTATTAATAATGTAACATAATTACATAAAACATATTATGTAATTATGTTATTTTATTTCCCTCCACATTCATTACCAATGACATGACCTTGCATGAAGTATGTTTGTTTCTGAAAAAAAAAAATCCTAGGATGAATTCCAAATTTGTTGCAGAATTAAATCGTAAATTGAATAGGTTAGGGTTAAAACCATTGCAGAATAGAATCAGCTAACCTGGACTACCAAGTGGTACTTGTCTGTTCTACCACCAATGTTTTTTAAAGCCTGAGGCATGAAGGGAGTACTGTACTGTCTCTACCTTCTAGAACAAAAGGATCTATGCAAAACATGCTGATAGTCGAGGATGGTGGTGACCAGCAAGCCAAAGCTTTTGAGGCAAACATGGGTGCCTGTGAATTGTTATGCAAGTGTGGCGGGCTACACTTCAGCAGCAAGGGAGCAGTTGCAATCCTAAGTTACTTGATTAAATACAATTTTAGGTAATAAACCCCACTGGTTTATAGTGTTTTCAGCATTCCTTTCCTTCCAATAACTATTAGCTTAGAATACCTTTAAAACCTTTTCATATTTATCAATATTTATTAGGTTTTACATGAACTTTTAAAATAAAAGTTCAGTAAATTTTATTTTCACAAGCAACATAGTTATTTTAATAAAGCATATTTTAGACATAAATAAAATATATGTGGGGTTCATGTGCGGTGAAGTTCCTGAAGGAACTCTACCTGGACTGGTCATTGCTGCTGATATGAGGGCTGGTTCTTTTCTTGCTCAAAGGCTAAGTACAGCCCATAGACAATACACTATATAGCCATTCAGCGAGGAAACACAGCCAGTTTTCTTGGCACAATACCACAGGGAGTAGGACTGTATGATAATTAAGTTATTAGTTTTAGTCTTTTTTTATTATAGTTTTTTTAATATTGTATATATAACAAAATACATTGTGTATTATATAATTTCTCAATTATTATTAAAGGATAAGTTCGAGACAGTGGAATAATCATACTTACCAGAATTAAAGAAATATCCCAGATCAAATAGTGCCTTGTTACCATCCAACATCTTCGTTATTGGTCCAAATCCAAAAAGACTACACTGGTTTCCTGGTGGTGGTGTAAATGAAGAAAAAGCTTTACTTTTACGAAGAAAACGTTTTACTTTTTTTAATGTTTTTTATATTCAGATGTTTATAAATACAATAAACAAGCTCTTAATTTTGCCTTAGCGCGAATTAACTGGAATGGTTCCAAATAAAGCTAAGTTAGGCCGCTACATCATTGGTCTGTCTTGGTAATCAATAACGCCAGGATAAATAGCTTTATTGATTTCGATGCACTGCAACAGTGTGCTGTATTGTACAAACTGCATTCTACAAACCTACAAACATTTTGACAATTTGCTGTGTGCTGTCACAATAAAACAACAGGTGTCTCTGTAGCACTAAAATAACTTTAGACCTTATTCCGTGCACATAGTGAAGGAAATAGCTTGTGTATAGAAGTATTGGTTATTTTAGTGACCCTAGCCCTAGTCTGGCATATGTTTACTAGGCCCAAATCCAATTCTGATTCTTTTTTATCATTGACGCAAAAACCTGCTCTAGATATTGTAAGAACACGCACATAATATTAGTGAGCAAATATAAATATAGTTTTACGTGCATATGATGAAAGATGTTTGCGTGAGTTGTTTTTGTATCATCATCATCATCATCATTACAGCCCTTCACAAGTCCACTGCTGAACATAGGCGTCCCCCAAAGAATGCCACAAAGCACGGTCCTGAGCCACCTGCATCCATCGACTTCCTGCATGTCTTACCAGGTCGTCACTCCATCTCGTGGGGGGACGCCCTACACTTCGCCTACCGGTACGAGGCTGCCACTCGAGAACATTTCTTCCCCATCGGTTGTCGGTTCTTCGAGCTATATGGCCGGCCCACTGCCACTTCAGCTTACTAATTCATTGGGCTATGTCGGTTATTCTGGTTCTACTGCGGATATCCTCATTCCTAAGTTTATCACGCAGAGAAACTCCGAGCATAGCCCTCTCCATAGCTCGCTGAGCGAACTTGAGCTTCCTCATATGGCCAGCAGTGAAGGACCACGTCTCAGTTCCGTAAATCATCACTGGCAACACGCACTGGTTGTACAATTTCGTTTTAAGGTTTTGAGGTATGTCTGACGAGAAGATGTGTCGTAGCTTCCCGAACGCTGCCCAGCCGAGTTGAATCCGTCGATTGACCTCTCGGCTCTCGGTCGAAGTTGGACTTACCTAGTCGGACTATTTGTCCCAGGTAAACATACTCGTCAACAACTTCGAGCTTAGTGCTCCCAACAACTACCGGCATAGGTGTGACATGGACATTAAACATGATCTTTGTTTTGTCCATGTTCATCTTAAGACCTATCCGTTGGGAAGCACTATTGAGGTCATTGAGCATAGTGCTTAGGCCCTCCAGCGATTCTGCCATAAGGACTATATCGTCGGCAAATCGAAGGTGAGTGATGTACTCGCCATTGATGTTGATACCGTATCCTTTCCAGTCCAGAAGCTTGAAAACGTCTTCCAATGCAGCGGTGAAGAGTTTCGGGGATATGACGTCACCCTGTCTTACACCTCTCTGCAATTGGATAGGTTTCGTACTCTGGTTCTGTACTCGGATAGCCATCGTAGCCCTACTGTACAAGCACTTCAACACTTCGATATACCGACAGTCAACTTGGCACCGCTGAAGGGACTGCAGCACCGCCCAAATTTCGACGGAATCAAAGGCTTTCTCATAGTCCACATACGCCAGACATAGTGGCAAATTGTACTCTTCGGACTTCTGTACAACTTGCCGAAGGGTATGTATGTGGTCTATGGTGCTAAAGCCCTTTCGGAAACCGGCTTGTTCGGGAGGCTGAAAGTCGTCAAGTCTGCGCGCGAGACGATTCGTAATGACTCTCGAAAACAGCACGTAGACGCGGCTCAGAAGGTAAATTGGTCTGTAGTTCTTCAAGAGAGCGTTGTCACCTTTCTTGAAGAACAAGACCACCGCACTTCTGCTCCACGCCTCCGGTGTAATGCCACCATGGAGGACGGAATTAAAGAGCCTCTGAAGGACTTCAAGTACCGGTCTTCCACCCGCTTGGGGCCTTACCGTTTTTAAGGTGCTGGAGAGCCATTCTAATCTCGCTCAGACTGACGTCCGGGATATCTTCGGAATAGTGTCGGATGAGACTCGCTCTTGGATCGTTACTCACACTTGCGTGTGGCTCCAACGATGACGTGTACAGCTGCCCATAGAACCTCTCAATCTCACTCAAAATCTCAGGTGTCCCGGAAACGATGCTGCCACATTCGGTCTTCAGCTTTGACAGTTGGCTCTTTCTGGCAGACAGATCTCTGGCAAAGATTTTGGAGCCTTGGTACCGCTCTATCGCTTCTTCAATACGAGCTGTATTGAAGTTGCGTAAGTCCCGCCGCATGCATTTGGAGATCTGTTTGTTCAGATGCCTGTATGCTGTCAAGTCTGTTGAAGAATATAGCTTCATCTCCCGTCTAACAGCCATGAGATTAAGAGTGTGATCGGAGAGTTTTTGTGTTCTTCTGCGGCGGGTCTTGCAGAACTTAGCTCCGACCGCATGGACAGTTTCCACGAGCTTGTCATTCATATCGTCCACTTCATTGCAGTCTTCTAGGCACTGAGATCGGTTTTTTAACTCGAGCTAAAAGGTTTCGGGACTTTGGAACAGAGCACGAGGGGGACGGAGCGTTGACTTCATTAGACGAGACCTCTCCAACTTAACGTTTAAGTTCAGTGTGCCTCTAACCATTCGGTGATCGCTACCAGTTTTCACCCTCGCGATCACGGAGACATCACTGAACAGTTGTCGTCTGGTCGTCATAATGAAGTCAATCTCATTTTTTGTCAAACCGTCGGGGCTCGACCAGGTCCACTTCCTGTGGGGCCGCTTCTGGAAGAAAGAGTTCATCATAAAGAGTCCCTCTTTCTCCATGAAGTCGGCCAGCTGCTGGCCCCTTGGGTTCCGTTGCCCTATTCCAAATTTCCCTACTTTCAGCTCACCGTTCTCTCTTGTGCCTAGTTTTGCATTGAAGTCTCCCATTAACACCGTATATTGGGTTTTGGAGGAATGCATGGCTGTAGAGATATCCTCATACATTTCCTCCACCTCCTCATCGAGATGTGCCGAGTTTGGTGCGTAAATCTGTATGACCTTCAGCGAATACCGTTTGGTGATTCTGAGTATAAGGTACGCAACCCTCGTCGACACACTCCCGATTTTTACAACGTTGTTAACGAGAGACTTGTGGACGATAAATCCGACACCTCCTTGGGACAGATGGTCGCCCTCCCGGTGATAGAGCAAGTTGCCGGATTCGAGGATTACCGTGTCCTCCCCCTCTCTTCGGACTTCGGATAATCCTATAATATGCCAGCGCAAATTGTCTATCTCTTCTTCCAGCTCCACGATCTTCTCGTCAGTCCTCAGGGTACGTGCGTTGTACGTTGCCAGGTCGAGTCGTCTAAGGTGGCAACCGAACCTCCACCGGAGATTCTTATCACCCCCTGCCCCGCCGTTACCATGGTCGCCACCGTAGCCAGGAATAGCGGGGCCGCCGGGGACTGGGGGCCGTCTGTTTGTTGCTCTAATCATTTTTGGCAACCACAGGTTTTTAATTGTAATTTTGGCTATTATCAGGAAGATGCTGCTGCCCACCTCCTGCCTGTTTCCCTTTGTCGCCTTTTACGACACCCACGGGAGGATATGGGGTAGTGGATATTCTTGACCGCCACTACACGGCAAACGGTTTTTGTATCAGCATCACTTGAAATGTGTGTTGGTTGAACTTGAACATTTATAAACAAGTATTCTGTGGCATTAAAATAAAAAACGAATCTTATATTTGATGATAATGCATTATACGATTTTTAAGATAAAACCCAAAATTATGTTCACCTCAATGATCAATGATATAGTAAAAGCAAAGGGCCATGAGGCTCAGATTTGAGGGTGCAGCATTTAGTAAAAGAAAAGTAAAAAAATATTCAAAAATAGCTCTTACTAATACTTTTGAATAAAATGTAACGAACACTGTACACTGTAGCATTGACAGATACATTGACCAATGGCTGACATAGTGAATTATATATTTGCTTTAGCAACAGCTTCTATTTTTCACTTTTATCACTATACTATCAATCCATGCTCATTCTACACTACTATCAATGATATTTAAAATCTGTATACTTATTGATATAAAAAAATTGTGTGCAATAACTAATAGATAATATAATTAAATAAATGTAGGCTTCTCAATAGGCTTACTAATAGCAGTTTTATATAATTAATGTGTCTTTAAGTCTTAATAATACGCAAAATACAAGAATGTAAGGGATGAAAAATTAAAAACTTAAATTACTTCTAAACATTTTATTCATTATACCAATCTAGGAATAGAAGAGTAAATGACATGACTAGCAAGAAGAAAAGAATGTAAACACGAAGGCCAGCATTTCTTTGGATTGCCTGTTTTATTTGTTCATTAGCATCTTTTACATTTTCTGTTGCGCCAACAACAGTATTGGATATACGGTCTATGTCTTGTTCTTGTTGTAGGACCTGAAACAGATATATTAAGTGAATACCCACAACTATAAGCTTACATTAAGTATATAATTTTTACACCACAAAATTGAATAAAACTACTTTTACAGATTTTATCACGTTTAATTAACTTATTTTTATTAATTTCCGACGTTTCGGATGCTTTCCAGCACCCATGGTCACGGGGGACTGAGGTCATTGACGTCCCAACGTCAGAGTTAACCCGGAGTACCTTCAGCTTTTTTAATTATTAATTTTGGTCCGATCTACACAGAATGAATTTACTGTGTCTTGAAGTCTTGCAGTGGTATACTTGGGTTTAGTTTAGCGTAAATATAAGAAATCATTATGTACACCACTAACATGTTACACTATATAAATAGATTTCTTTCTTTCAAATATTTTTTTATAGGATAGGATGACAAACGAGCACACAGTCCACCTGATGGTAAGTGGCTGCTATGACCCATAGACATCTACATCTATCTTCAATGTAATAAAAATAATAAAGCCCTTTTATTCGGAACTACATGCAGTTTAACATTTTTGATTTTATGATTCTTTGATATTGATATTATCACTCATTTTACTGAATTATCACAGTCTAATCTTCTAAATGTGTTCCAGCACAGAATTAAAAAGCTTTGGAGATAACGGGTCTCCTTGCCTCACACCTCTGTTTATTGGAAAGGGGTCTCCTTTTGACTCTAATTTAATACTGCTTTCGCTTTTTTTGTCATCCAAAAAAAAAGAATCAGGACATCTATCCTCAATAAAGAATCAAAATCCAGATGCATTGTCACCCGTGAAGACTAAGATGGAATGCCTCTTTTTCAGTAAAAAGGGTCTCCGGTTTTCTACACTCACAATACCAAACACAGCAGCATGAAGCTGCTATTTTACACTGGTATTCTGTGAGAGCGTCCTTCACCAGTCAGGCCTACCCATTTGTGCTACAAATATACTACTAATATAGCTGCAGCATGCAGCATACCATATATAAAAAATTAATGTGAAGATAGTTATCTATACTTTTTAAAGTCACCTCTTGTTTCTGCTAAGTTTATGTTTCTTTTACTATTATAGGTATATTCACCATCACATTCCTATAAAGGTTCCTTCAAAAGTCAACTGCTGAACATAAGCCTCCCTATGAAATGCCACAAAGCACAATCCTAAGCCTACATCCATAAACTTCCTGTATCTCTTACTTAGGTTGTCACTGCATCTAGTGGGGGGCTGTCTTACACTATGCTTACTGGTACTACTTTCTTCCCCATCATGTGTCCATTTTTCAACTTCCTGCAGTTTTGATCAGCAGTTTGTCCTGCATATTTCATTACTGCATAGTACCTTACCTTGAAAGCAGTAAACCTACCCAGTATATTCACAATGTTTTATCAAAGAACAACAATAACTATGTTTTTTAATATGTATAAATGTTAAATACCTTATCAGTAAATATTTCTTGTAGCTCTGCAATATGTAGCACTTTGCTTTCAATTTGCCTAACTTCTTCTGTCATGCTATTCAGTTCATTCAAGAGGTGCACATTCTCGGATTCAAACATTTGAAGTTCTTCAGTACTTAATTCTCCTTCATCAGACATTATAGCAATTTCATTTTCCGATAAATCCACTTTAGTTTTTATCAAATCAGTTTCTTCCATTTCTATACTATTACTTTCCTTATCCTCTTTACTCTCCACAGACTTCTCATTGATGAATGGATTCAATATTGAAGATTTAGCTTGTGGAAGTTCTAGCCGCGATAACTTACGTATATCGATAGCTCTTTTCACTCTTAAAGCTTTAAGTTCACTGTGGATCTTGCATACAGCCTTCAAATATGCATCAATTAAATCAATTACAGCATCCATATACTCACGCATCTGATGAGAGACCGAAAGTTTCCTATTGTCATTTCTAAACTCTTTTAGAAGGTGTGAACATGTGTTAATGATCCTTTGAGCTCCCGTGTCGATTTGGTCCCTCTCCGCTTCAGTCATTTCATCGCCAGTTTCATTGTTAAAAAAACTTAAATACCTTTCTCTGTGCTCTAACAAAAAATCCCTCAATCGTGTTATTTGGCATGTTATATCCTTAGCAGTTACTGTGAATCCAGTTTTCGGTTTCGTTCGAAGTAAACGTTGTTTTTCATCACTCAAAGGACTTTGGATGCCAAAAGCTTTATTGCGTGTCTTAACAGTTTTTATACAAGCCTTAAATAATGGCGTGATATCCATTTTTTTATTGATATTTTCACAAAATTTGCCACAATTTTGTTTATGATCCCGTTTTCCAAGCCATATCAATATTCAATAAGTCAATAACGTCAACAAATGTCAACGTCAACGTCAAGATTCGGTGACATTGACGATTATTTAAAGGCAAAAGGAATATGCCCATACAACCTAGACTCTATGCTAGATTGTATGTATATATATTTATCTATGGTGTAGATGAATATAATGTGGAAGGAAGAAGAAAATTCCTTACGGCAAAAATCACAGTCACAATGATAAACCTTTTGGTGTAGTTAAGTATAGATATTTAGAAATGTTCCTGAAGCGCTGCTAGATAGTATAAATTCCATAGTATTTGATACAACGCTCGATGCACGATTTATGCTTGATGCCCGACGACAGTTACCGAGGGCTTGAAGAGAAACTCGTGGTAAGTAACAGCTGCAGTTCATGGATGTGTGACCGTTTTCTTAACATACCGAGATTGAGAGAATAGAAAGTGCATCTGTATCCTCTCAGACACTTAGTGCACTTTAATATCTTCCGCGTATTTGGCTTGCATAGGTATGTAGATAATTATGTTTTTAAAACTCATGTAGCTAAAATGATAATAAGTTTATTATTCCTTTATATTTTTCAGGGACAGACGAAAGATAGAGAGAGTAGCCTCATAAACATATTAGCCTTTAAAAAGAGCAATCTTATTTAACTGATTCGTACAAGTTTACTTGCTTAAATTATTCAGTTTCAATTCATATTTAAATCGAATGTTAAAATTAATTTCTATAATGTATTTATTTATTAATTAATAAATGGTTGTGATTAATAAAATAATAATTAAATGAAAACGAAAGCAGCCATTATGTACTCCATGTCCCCGTTTTTTTAATTTCAACAGCAAAACATTTTATAAAACATGTAAAGTATAAATTGGTATAAACTTAATTATCTACCTATTTTTAGTTTATTAACGTTATGTTAAAAAAGAAATTCCGGGGAAACGGGATGGCAGTAAAGTTTTCTCCAAAGGTCATAGCTCGAAAATACAACTTTCCGATCTGATTCTTGAAGGAAATTGTCTAAGTTTATCGGTAGACTCACCTCTTCATAGATTATTGGGACTTTGTGCATTTTTAATTAAAATTCAACAAAAGGCAGATAGGCGCAGTTTATTCCCGGGAACAGGTATATATGAATATTTTTTAATTATGTTAGTATAATCAAGGTAAAAATTCAGTAAATTTTTTGAAGTTTTTCAGTTTCGTTCACTAAACTTGAGAGTATTCAACTAACAGGAGACGCCATGCGCATAAAGTTCCAAACAAAAAAGTCTGTCACTTTTAGCGGGAGGCGAGGTAACGTACACATGGGTGTTTCTGCAGCTATATTTTTACATGGTAGAGCCATGCTGCAGCTATATTAGTAGTATAGTTGTAGCACGAATGGGTCGGCTCGACCGGGGAAGGACCACGCTCTCACAGAAAACCAGCGTAAAATAACTTAACTTAACGCTGCTGTGTTTCGTATGGTGAGTGTAGAGAACCGGAGACCCTTTTTACTGGTAAAGAGGCATTCTATCTTAGTCCTCACGGGTGACAACGCATCTGCATCTTGAGTCTTTATTGAGGATAGATGTAGACGTCTATGGGCCACAGCAACCACTTACCATCTGGTGGACTGTGTGCTCGTTTGTCACCCTCTTATAAAAAAAAACATTGGGCCACGTCGTTACGCACGCAGACAGCATAATATGAGCACACAAGTAAGCAAAACGAACTCAACCTTAAAAATTTCTCATAAATGTCTCATCTTTACAGTGTATAAAAACATAAACAACTAGTGCGAGGGCCTTGTAGATATGGATATGTCGATGAAATTTTACGCAAGTTACATTAGCAAATGAAATAAAATAAAAATGAGCAATAATACAAAAAATGTTTAATATGCAATATTATATTCAAAGTAAATTTAAAAAATACATAGGGTACAAAATAATAAAATAATATTACAAAAATAAAACAAAATGAAAAAGTTTTATGTTATGTTTTTACTGGTTTTTAAAGTGAATAAATTTGGTATATATGTGACGAATACACTTTTTGGGATCACTCTTTTTATGCTAATTCTAGTACTTGCACATTTTTCCATCACCAAGTTTGCCAATTCAATGTTATGTGGAACGTAATCATTATCGAAATAATGTTCCTTTAGGCTTAAAAATATCACCTTTCCAACAAAAAGTTTAAATATTTTATTTCTAACTATCGTTGAGCATGATTGGTTAACTTTATTGTCAGGAGTTAAGTTTTTTCTAATTTCTATTTCACAAAGACGACACAAATTAATTACCTCTTTAGATGCATACATTAAGCCACCTCTACTTGTCTGATAAATTAAACTCCTTCCGTCCGGTACACACAGAAGAGCTTTTATGCATGTGCTACACTTTATTTTTTTAATATAGTAAAAGCAACAAAACCCGCTATATATTCGACCACTTTTTCGCCAAAAGGTGACAAATAGGTGTAAGTCTCTATGTCCGCTACCATATTTTCTTCAGTTATTCCACTGCTCCAATTCCAAATGACGTCCAAGTCTGTGTCCTCTTTTCGGCTGGTCAAATTTATTCTATTAACAGCTGATGAAAAATTAAGAATAGAAATCTTTTCTATAGGTTGCAGTTAGTACCTCTTTCAGTTCGGATCAATTTGGTATGTATTAGCAACTTTTTATAAATGGCTTCTAATTGAAGTTCGGAGGGATTATCAGAATAACCACCATGACTTCTGATGTTTGAAAATAAAATTTCTATATTGTCTTGGCTAATTTTGTGTAGTGATAAATAGGTAAGTAAAGCGTTTGAACCTAATACTAGATCGTCAAATATGCGTTTAGCACTTTCAATGCATAGAAGAAACCCTAAAAATCCTGTGTACCGAGGACGCTTTAAAAGATTAACTCGCTTGTGTGCATTATTACGTGAAATGACATTGGTTTCTAAGTTTAATGGAAAATCTTTAGCCTCATCCAACCTAGCAAAGTTTCTTTCATTGTTATTACTATTTAATGCTTGTTTAAATATTTTACACCAAGTTTTTGAGTCGAGAATATCAAAAACATCATTAACTAACTTCAAAAATTTGCTTTGGACGCAACGTCTTCAAATAAAGATAAGTTTAGTACATTTTTGCAAAATAATAAGGCATTTGCTACACTAGTGCTGAAGAGTTGGGTTGCTAGCCGGACATTCATTATTTTAGTTATATATGATTAGCTTTTAAGTTATTTGCCATGTAAAAAAGTTCATTCTCAAAAAGTAACTCATGCATATTTTGCAAATGTGACCACCGGATTTTATCACCAGAAGCACTTTGGATAAAATATTTATAAAACTCAAAAGCATTACGCACCAGTTTCAGCATATGGCAGGGATCTAGAAAAAAGAAAATTTTGTTTCCCGTACATGGATCTAATATAGTAGTCTGTAAATTTTCTGTATTTAAACAACAGCCTAACTCTTAAGCCATAGCAAGATTTGCCTTCGTACCGTCGCATGTCAATGTTTTGATGTAAACTCCGGTTTCATGAACTAGATGTAAAGCTTGGGTCACCAGTGGTGCTTTTAGGTCAGCACTTGTGCCCTTTACTAAGAAGTACCCAATGGGTACTTTCCAAGTAGTATTAATGCCTACTAGTAAAAATACTAAAGCATAAGTGGCCTCCTCTGAATTGTTAGAAATGAAGTCAAATCCATAATTAACATAACCAAAATGTCTTTTAGAACTTGCATGGTATTCCATCAATTGTTTTATTTTCATTTCATCTATCATTAATGTACAATACAATTTCTTGTCAGGGTTACTCTCTGCTTTAAGTTTTAAAGCAGTTAACGCTTCCTTTGTGAAGCCAGGTCGGCCATCAATTGTACTATACCACTTTGTTATAGTACGTGATGAGGGCAGACAAGTTCCAAATGTTTTGCGCACTTATCGATAAGTATGTAACTTCAACTACACATTATAAATGTAACTTCAGGCTTAGAAGGGCTAGAACACCGAGGCGTAAAACCAGATATTTAAAAAAATCTACTAGTCAGTCTGTAGTTCACACGGAGGTTATCTATACTATACTATATATAATATAATAAAGCGGAAGAGTTTTTTGTTTTTTGGTTTGTTTAAACGCGCTAATCTCTGGAACTACCAGTCCGTTTTGAAAAATTCTTTTTGTATATTATAGCCTGATTCATGTGGAATAGTATAAGCTATCATATGACCATATGTCTATTTCTTATACATAAGCCATAATTTGGTATTTTGTGACAAAAAATATTGAAAATTTAAAAGTGATTTATGAGCGTTATTATTAGGCATGGCCTATTTATACTTACGAACGAAAGTTACTTCATCATCAAAACAATTTTATGAAGATAAACTTTGTTCTTTATACCATGTTATTTGGACGCATAGCATAAGAAATAATGTTAAAGTAAAATAATTCAGTACTTGGCGGGCGCGCGAACGATGCTTAAACCCTAGCCGTTATAAAATGCTTGACGCGGGTGAAACCACGGGGCACAGCTAGTAGTTTTTATATATGGGGGCTCCATTAAAGCATAGTAATATACTAAAGAACTGTAGTCGGACTGGTAGTTCCAGAGATTAGCGCGTTTAAACAAACAAAAAAACTCTTCCGCTTTATTATATTAGTATAGATATAGATTAGCAAGCAGACTTAGCTCTACAGCATATGCTGTGAAAAAGTTTAGAAGTCTTACCAGTGTTGAAATAGCTAGACTAGTTTACTTTAGCTATTTCCATAGCATAATATCGTATGGTATTTTGCAATGGGGACACGCAGCTGACACTGAAATTATATTTGTTTTACAGAAGAGAGCCATAAGAGCAATTTCTGATTTAAAGCCTAAAGAGTCGCTGCGACATAAATTTAAGGAAATTAATATATTAACTTTGGCCTCTCAATACATTTATGAAAATATA